AAATAACTCATGACTCAGATATTAGAACTTGTCAATTGTTACAAATAAAAATTTATCTTCACATGCTTATTAATCATTAAATTTTTATTTTTTACATGATTTTGAATAGGAATGTTGTTTGATACGCAGTTGGTGCTGTAGGAGTGAAAATTAAATATGAAGTGTAAGATTACAATGAATGGAATGATTGTGCGAATAAAACGAGTCTTCTCAATTTACTGGGAAATTATGTACCACTGTACAAATAAACAGAAAGTTCCGAATGTCACACATTGTACCTACATGCACGTATATTATTCATTTTTGTAGTTCAGAGTTTTACTGCTGACCTGATTACTTGAATTCATGCAAGATTATACTGGTATAATACATTATGATACTTTCCTCAAGAATTAGCACTTCTATAGCAAGTAGCTTTTGAATCATACAGACTTAATTGGCCATGTTAAATGCATACTACTCTAAGTTGACAGCTGTTTGCAATGTCGTTTTATCAGATATTGATTGGTCTTGATTGCCCTTTTATAAAAACTAATAAATAATGCTATGTACTTTATATTCTCTTTAAATTAAATCTAAGAGTAAATATTATGCGTAGAATTATTACAGCCGTCTGTGTTTTTGAAAAAAGATATAAAAGATGTAATCAGGTATTTATTGTTTCATTTATCTCATTTATTACTTTGCTGCTTTTGTCTTTGAGCTAAATTTGGTTTTTATGCTACAGATTATTTATTATATTACCATATTTAGCTTTAAAGATTGTACTCTAAAAATTACAGTTATTGATTGCCAATCAAGGCAATATTAAGCTATCATTGCTTTTATTGATGTATGATAGTTCATCTTACGAAGAATATTGAATTGTTCCAAAATGGTATCATTTAATTTTTTTGGAATTTTTTATTTAATTCAATGACTAAAACTTTTGTGAGATATTGTTGGTGTGTAGAATTGTAAAACTTGTCTCTCTAGTTGTGTGTGTTCTTTGTTATGAGCAAATTTAGTGATAATTATTGATTCTATTAATGAAGGTTAGCATTCAGTAGAAGATAGTATTGGATACTACTATTTCTGTTTTTATCATTCTATCATGATTGTTTGTCATTCTAGCTGTTAACTTACTTTAGCTTATCAATGGTTTTTTTGCTTTTCTTTGTCAAAAATTCACTTGCTGTTAGTAGATCAGCAACTGAGAACAGAAGTTAGATGAAAGTATGAGGGATGTGTCAGCAGAGTTGGGAGCGTTCAGAATGCAAAATGAAGAGAGATTTAAGGTGATGAAGGCAGATTTGCACAGACAATGACTGCGAACAGACGTCACATTGTTTCTTTTGGGTACTTACTTATCTTTTCTATTTTGACAACTCAGAGAACTTCATTAAAACATAATTTGTGCTAGCTAGTCTTTCAATTTGTTTTCATGTCCGGTGTTACAGATCTCAGTTTAAGCAAATCAGCTTCATTTCTTTGAAACCTAAGCATATTTCACTTGGAAATCTTGTCTTAATATTTAATTAAATATGCAGTATAGTGATGATGATAAATGGGAAAGGAGAAGAAAAGATAAACATGATTATTACATCGAGCATGCTGGATTACTGCGGTGTAATGAATATGTGGTTGAAATGTGAAGCTTAAACGCCTCTTGCTTTGGTATTAAATATCGTAATCTTAATCATTGTCATCATTATCATGAGAGATTCTGTAATTGCATCAAACTTTTTTAATCTTTAAATAATCCCTGTGTTAATTACTGCTACAAGAATGCTGAGTTTCTATAATGTGTTTAACACTGGAATCTGATCTTCGTCATGCTCTGCATTCTAGCTATTCTCAGCTACACTTACCCATATCACTTTCCTGTATGGTTGAAACCTGAATTATCAGCAGTTTCCTTGCATATCAGACTATCCGTAACTCTTGTTGTATTCGTTCTACTCGTTCTCATTCCACTGCTCTGCTACTACTCTATTTACTGTTATCTCTAAGAAATAGGAAATATGTCAAAAAAAAATTCATAAAATTCATCTACAAATAACTAATCTTCGTTTGCATGCAAAAAACTGTGCAATCTATAATTCCTTTCCTCAACCTTGGTATCAGATTTTCTGTCATAATCAATCAGACTTTTTATTTTAGATATTTTTCCCTCCTAATTTTGTGGTTTAACTTTTTGATGTCATCATGCATGTTGAATTAGTTATTCAGTGGTTTTGTCTATATAATTCTTTTACCTTTGTCATCATTGCTTAGGTGGATAAATAAATATAAATAAATGAATAATAAATTGATCGATGTGTGCATTAGTGGTAGTAGTGATAGTATTATAGTAGTGATCTTTATGCAGTTATCACAGCTTTTCAATCACTGAGCAAAGATGATGTGAAAGAGGGTTAGAAGTGAGTTTTACATAAAGCATCAATTTATGGACGTAACATTAAACATTGTTGTTTTTATTGAGGAGATAATATAGCCATTATTTCAGCTTTTTTAATCCCGTTTATTTTTCTAATAATTCCAAGTTTTCTTCTATTACTACTTCTACTATTTCTATTATAATTATTATTATTACTACTATTACTACTACTACTACCAATACTACTACTGTTACTGCATATATCTTTACTGCTGTTATTTTATTCAGTTGTGATATTTGTGTTGGAACACAAGGAAGTAAATACACGATGCCGTCGTTCATTCTGTAAATGCTGAGCATTTATATGCTATGCAGGTGTTCACAGCTCAACTTCCAGCATTTTCTACTACTTTTGCTGATTGATCCCTTGGTTGAAGACAGTTTAATGATGGCTGATTATTAATTAAATCTCGACAAATCAATGGTTCGAACAGTACTGTGTGCAGTTACTAGTCGTACAGTTGAGCATATTGTTGATATAAGCAGTGAGTCATTTAGTCTCTCTTGCACTTTTTGCTGATCCACTGATTTTTCTATTATGACAAATGTAATTTGAAATGTCTTAGGTTGCAGTTTGAGAACAGTACCTGCTTCATGAAAATTTCCATTGACACATCAAGCTAGAAAAACACTGTAGTCATTTGTACATTAAATAACAGCAAGTGGATCACTTGTCTTTGTTCTTATTAACAAATGTAACTGATATGAGTTTCGTTTAGTACTTGCTGCTTCTCTAAAATAAGCTTACCATAAACGTTGGTATTTTACTTCATTGCCTTATGTGTATAAATGAGAATCTTAGCATATTGCTGAAATAGTGCGTTTCAAGTTATGTACCAGTAAATTCTCATTTTGATTTCTTATGCTTCTTGATAATCATTTTTACTTAAAATATATTCTCTCTGCTCATTATTTGCTCGCATCAAATGAAATAGACTTGTATTTATTTGTTTTATTTGAAAGTTTCTTAATTTTGCTTTTGTGCAAGCATTGAAGATTTGTTCACTTATTTTTCTCTGTGACAAAAGATTTTCGTCTTTCTGTTATTGTTTGACGTACCTATAGATCGAATTTTTCAGAAATTCGTTCTCAGTTAAATGAACAATTGCGATGTTTAGAAACTCGGTCTGAAGTGCAGGTAAACAAACACATAATAACTTCTTATTTCTGAAATTCTATACAATTTTTGAAGCAGTTCATTAATGTTATTAAAATTTTTTACCTAGCTGATTCCCATGAAACGCTACTTTCATTAGTTAATTAATTAAAACCATAATTATTTATCAATTCAACGATAGCCTACTTGTATTTCTACCTCATTAAGCTGTTTTATCAATGTTACATAGTTTTTATGATATCATGTTCAATGCAGGCTTCAATTTTATTGGAACTAAATGATTATTATCGAAGAAAAGCAGAACTAGATGGAGAATACGGGAAACAACTCGAAAAGCTTGCCAGGAACATCATGCAAAAACACAAGAATGAGCGTTATAAGTCAGTTTCGTATTTTCTTTTACAGTTAACTTGTAAAAAAGTCTAGGAAATAAGGCACTGAGACAACAATTTAATCTAATTTACCACGTAGATACGATAAATGAAACTGTTATATTTATCTGTCAAATGTATGAATACTTGCCCGTTTTAACTCCAAAATGAAGAACATTTGCTGCCACAAAAAGCAAGAACAAATAGTAGTGAAAGGGAAAAGTAGTTAACAAATGGTAAAGGAGGATGAATTAGCTTGGAAATCTTATCGTTCACTTCAGCATATTGACATTATTTATGAAAAAAGAGCTGTCACTAAACATCTGTCTTTCAAATTTTATTAATTTTCACTGAACAAGTCACTGAGTAAGTCTTAAGTTAAATTTTCATATAGAATACCAAAAACTATTGCACTAAGTCTCTTAGTTTATATTAACAAACCAATAGAAATTATAAATTTAGTTTTGTATCTTGGATGCTACATGAAATTTTGTAGTCTGTTTAAGCTAAATATTTTTTGTGATGCACTAAAAAATTTCATGTGTTTCTTACAATTTCAGGCGTGATTCTTGGTCCTTGTATTCAACTTGTGGCATATGGCAGCAACTTGTTGATCAGACAAAAGAAGAAGCTAAGCAAAAAATGGCTTTGGCTGATTTATATGCAGCTCGGCTAACTGTACTGATTGCTCAAAGAGCAGATGATTTGCAGCGTATTTCACGTAAAGTAAATTCTTTTTTTAATTATTTGCGGATATGTATTAGCAGCTTTATAAGTTGTGACATCATATAAGATGTATCATTATTTCATCATATATATAAAAATTTGATTAAACTATTCCTGTTTTTTTCATTTTGTATTTGGTTATATTCGTTCGTTCCACTCGAATCTACCACCTTTTACTGTTTATAGAATTATCACTAATCCTCATTTCAGTGTCGCGAAATAGGAGCTCTTGCGCATGGTGAAATATTTCGGGTTTTAAATGAATTGCATACTGCTATGAAAACATATCAGGTCTTTTTTAAAATTTTTGGATGCATTATTTTTGTAAATTACTCTTTCAAGCACAGCATGTAATATGAAATGCGAAGCAGTATTTACAGTGTTACATCTGTTAGCTATTATTGTTTGATCACGAACTATATACGAATAATTTGCAGATTTCCTATCTTTTTTCAGCTCTGTTTTCTTGAGTGTTCATCTATTGAAAATAAGTTCCATCAAGTGCAAGAAAATAAAGTTAGATATGAAGAAAATAACCCAACAAAGCTTGGTGTTACACGCAAGCACAGATCTCTGGCAAAACTGTATAATAAGGTTAGTCGTCGTTTACAATGAGAATGAGATCTATTTCTTCACGAAATACAAAATTTTTTCTGTATTTGATAAAATGTTCTTTCAGAGGCTAGAAAAATACAATACAGTGAAAGTTAAGTGTTTGAAGGCTAGAAACGAATATTTACTTTGTGTTCAAGCAGCTAATGCTGCTTTACACAAATATTTCGCCGATGATATCTCAGACCTTATTGATGTATGTTTTGTATTCACTTTTGAATAGCGAGACGATGGTTTTTGCTAATGCTGTCCTGTATCACATCTGTATTGCATTTGGAGCTTGGTTGAGTGTTTTAATCCTAATGAAATTCTTTTCAGTGCATGGATCTTGGCATGGATCAGTGGTTGCGAGGGCTCATTACCTCTACAGTTTCAGCACGGAAGGATATATGCCAAAAAGAAATGGACATGTTAGCTGAACTCTGTGGATTAAAAGAGTCACTGGATTTAAAGGCAGATAAGCAACGATTTATTGAAGCAAATAACGCAACTTTCATGCTTCCAAAACGATTTGAATTTCGGTCAGCTTATATTAAACCTGGTGTTGTAAAATACATCAAATATTTGGTCTGTCTCAGAACAACGCTTTTGTTACTCATTGCACTAAGACAAGTTTTTGTTCATCTGCTTATCTTGAGAACAAAATTTTTTTAGAGGACAAGTTGGTGACATAGTATCTACAGTAAGTGCAGCAAACGGTGTCTCTGAAGAATTACTACAACGGCATTTACAGATTGAAAGGAGACTTACTAATGTGAAGTATGTTTATTTCTAGTTGGTGATATGCTGCAAGCTATGCCGTTGTAGTATATGACAAACTTCTTTAATATATTGTTTAGCAAGGTTTGCTATTTAAAGTTAATTTTTTTCATATATAATTACATTTAATAAACTGAGAAAAGATTTTTAAAGAGAACTATATTTAACTTTATTATGTTTCAAGAATCGAATCGGAAGAAATATGGAAAACTTTAGAATCGACAGAAAAAGCTGTTTCTGAGCGCTTTGTAGAAGCGATGACTGGTTCGATTGCTAGTATCGAACTTTCTAATGCTGTTTCACGTGAAGATTGTAATGAGGGGAATATCTGTAATCTTAGAGATAGAATAAATATCAATGAATTATACGATTTTTATCTTGGAGTTAGTTTGATGTTTTTCGAGTTTTAAAATCTTTTATACTAAAGAAATTTTTTGATGAAAAAATATTTGGTTAGTTTTCAGAAATTCAGTCACTATATGCTGAATAGTAATTTAATTGAACGCCTGGAAGCTCGAGCAAATGGAATAGCTTCAGCATTGAACGAGTATTCTACCAAGAAATTCGATGGCATTACTTCTTCTGCTCCTGTCTCATTCGTCGATTCCTTCAATCGTATGTTACTTTTTACTAGGATAGGATTTGTTTAGATATTGAGTTTAGAAATGCTTTTTTTGTCTATTGTGTATCACTATTTCATTTTAATGGTGTTTATAGCAATGTAGTATTTCAGTCTGCTTTTCGCCATTATGAATCTTGTTTCTCTTTAAATATATCAACTTATTCAGAAGATGGAGATGAAACTGAAAGTTTTCCTCCAACTCGTACTCGTACTAAAAAGCGAATTGGCAGTGGTTTACTGTGTGATGCAGTTAGGCGGCCAAAACTTTTTGGTGGTAGTTTAGATGAATATGTTGAAGCTACTGCGGAAGCAATACCTCAAGTTATAATATCAACTATACGGTTAATATTATCACATTATCTGAATTTTCGCTTTTATTGTGAAGTATCTGATAACGATCGTCAAGCTTTTTTTTATAGTGTGCTGTCACAGTTTGCCCTTCATCATCAAGGATTATTTCGTATCTCAGGCTCACAAATTGAAATCAATACATTCCGAGAAGCATTTGAAAAAGGTTACTGGATGCATTCATATTTCTACAAATTAATTTTTTTTTTCTCTTATTTTATCTTCGCATTGATTCAGAAAAAATTATTCGTATTTCTTTGCACTAATCTTTTAATATTATGATTTGTCATGGACCGATTTTAGTTATTGCAGGTGAAGACCCCTTACGACATGTTTTTGATGCTACTGATGTCAATTCAATAGCAGGTGTTCTGAAATTGTATTTACGGGAACTTCGCGAATCTCTCTTTCCTATATTTCTTTTTGACCAATTAACGGAGTGTGCAAAATGTTCGAACGCTGAAGAGTTCGTGAAACAGGTTTTGTTTTTTGTGTTATCAATTACAATGTTGAAATCATTTTATTGTATGAGAGTAATTACTTAAGTATCTGTCGATTTTTTAACTTGACATTGTTCAGCTGTGTCTGAAATCCTCTTTTTTTTCTTGCTTCATCGTGACATAGTTGATTGAAAGAAGTTTAAGAAAAGGGCTTACTTCATATTTCTTGCTGAACTCATGTCAAATTTTGTAAGGTTTTGTAGGTTGTTCCGCTCATCCAAAAACTTTCCCTACCAACGCAGTTGGTGTTGCGATATCTCTTTGCATTTCTGAATCACTTAAGTGAATTTAGTGACGAAAACATGATGGATCCTTATAATCTTGCCATTTGCTTTGGGCCTACATTGCTACCTATACCAGAAGGAAAAGATCAGGTCGTATAATTGTTCTTTTTGGATATGCTCTGGGAATAGAAAAATTGAGATGAATATCAAGTTTTTGTTTTAAGCAAAATCTGAGAGTGATGTTTTGTAAATAGTTTAATATTATTGATTTTTCAATTCATAATTAATATAGTTATTAAATTCAGAGTAAAAGTAAGGAAGGACCGAATTTTATATTCGTTTTTTGAGGCGACTAAGAAATCTTGTAAATATGAGATGCATTTCTATTTACCTATCTTTTTTTATTGAAAAATGTTTCAGGTATTCTATCACAACTTTGTAAATGAGCTAGTTAAAAATTTAATCGTTTATAACGAGCAAATTTTCTCTCCATTGTTGCCGGGTCCTCGATATGAGAAGTATCTCGTTGAATCTGAGCAAGCGCTTTTCATTGATGAACAGTAAGTATTTAATTTTAATTTCTTCTAGTACTTGGTCAATTCAGATTATCAAGGAAAGTCTGGAATTGCAGATTTCAATTTTTTTTTTGAATGTACTTTACAGCAAATTAATTATTTTACGAAATAACCATTGCACTGAACTTATATCACTTGCTTAGGCCTATTTTCGAGTCTTTAGTACTGAAAATGACGTAAGTCATTCATTTTAAAAGAAAAAAAAACCTATTGCAGAGAAAGTGCTGTTAGTGGAGATGAAGAAACAATAACAACACCACTTCTTGATCATTCCAACGAAAAGCTGTTAAATGGGCTTGATGCATTTTCAACAACTCCCTCATGGAATGCTACAGATTCTACTGTTGAGATACTACGGGTTGCAGTAGATAGTGTCGCAGGGATATCACATAATTCTAAAGGAAGCCCCGTCATTTCAGATTGTAGAAATCCATTAGAATCTATTTTTGGTGATTCTTCACAAGTGAGCAGTGCAAATCGTTTAGATAATACAAAGTAAGATACATCGTAGTTGTAACATTTGTACTAGCTTTTCACTGCATGTTTCACTTTCGATTTTCTAGCATCCTTTGTTATTACAAACGTGAAACGTCCTTTGAAAACGCATTTGTAAATTCTGCCATTTTCATGTTTAATTATTTCATGATGTACTATTATGTGTAATTTTCAAATATCTTTTTTTTAAATTTACAATTATCTCTAACCTCCAAATAATTTTGTTTCTCTAACTGTATTCACGGAAAGAGGTGATTTTATTAATTCAATAAATAAGTTTTTAAAATTAGACTCTTCAGGTTACCTGATAAATTGGTTTCTGGACCAGTTGATATTATTAAGCCTTTCGACATTGGTAATGTTGCAACTACGGCAGGTATCCAAAGTCTATCAGCAGGAAATATTGAAGAGAACTTACTAAACCAGGTACCTTGTGGAAAAGCTGAAATATCATGTAAAAAATTTGGTGGTTTTGCTTCACTTCGTTGTGTTTAAATTAATTCTGTTTTTATGATTATTTCTCTTTATTAATTAACGGCTTTTTAGTTGAAGTTTTTTTTTTTTTTTTTTTTTTTTGGATTCGTGCATACGAAAATGCACTGGAACGTGTTTCGAGGTTTAAAGCGTGCACGTTTTCAATCACACAAAAGAAATGTTCTCCTCAAGTTTAGGAGCAAATTGTGCATAGATTATGTTTCATTTCAATATTGAATTATGTGGTTATTAGGAACAAAGCCAACAGCAAGTTTTATCTCGTAGAGGATGCGGTGTGAGTTCGTTGCGGGAACAGTTGCATCATAGCCGCACGCAACAGCAGGTGTCTACTAGTGATAAATTGTAAGGTATTCGAAATCTGTACTTTCTTTTGCTGGTAATATAAGTAGCTTAAAATCATTTTTGTTACTAAAAGTTTTAGATCACCATCTTCATCTTCATTGGATGCTATAATTTTTGATAGTCGTATGGATGGGTCTACATTTACCAGTAAATTATCATCAAATAAAAGCGAAAGTTTAAAAAAAAACGTGGTACCGTCTTCATTTTGCAAAGAAAAGGCTTCAGTTTCGCCTAGACGTTTTCCAAACAGAGCACCTACCAATAGGCAGAAAGAAAGAGTTAGCTTTCACAATGTACCCATTAAAAGCTAATTAATTATCTTTTTCAAATTACCAAATAGATTTAAATTACCTTTCATGTCAAAGTTCAAGTTACACTATAACATTATAATGTTTAACTTTTCTCATTTCTAGAATTTATTAGATTTTGAAACCATCTTATTATAGTTTTATGAAAAGCTGAGGAATATGGAACCAGATTTAGTACGCTCTCTGCCGCATGGTGTCATCGTAGCCCAAGTAGAACAGCCACATGGGAATGTGCAGTAGTTGGCTTCTACATTATTTAACAAAAAAAAAATGCTTTTTAGTTATTGACGCTTCATTCATCTTATCGACCCATCCATCCATTCATTTTTTTCTTCAATGTAATTTAATTGTGAGTCAGATCATTCAAGAAACTATCTCAAAACCACAGTTATGACAAAATATAATTATACTTGTATTTACACAGGGTTTAGTTGTAAAAAATTTTTTAAACAACGATGTCCAGATGCATTGCAAGACTTTCTGTAATTTAAAGAACAAGGATTACTTATGTTTCATTTTTTTATGCTAATTGCTTTAATGCGATACATATCCGTATTTTCTTTTTCCTTAAAATGACAAATTTTGATATCATAGCCTTGTTAATTTTATTTATACTTTGAGTCGATAAAAAGTACCAGAATATTATTCTTCAAATGATTCAGATGTTTCTCTGTTGTCAGCATTCTTTAAGTTGAAACAATGCATAATTTGGGTTCACAAGGATCTTGAGCATTTGGCTTTGTCTTAAAGCGGTAAATATGCATCAGGAATATTTGTTTCGTTATGTTCCGTGTCATGTATCTTCAGTATGCTTCAATTAATGGAAAATTTTCTGTGTGAGAAATGGATAGTGCAGTAGGGATGTTTCAGGTAGATGGGAAAAGTTTTAACTGGCTCATATTTGTTTGCCAAAGGGGTACAATACCTTGCATACAGATGTTCTGCATCTGGAAGGAGGAATGGTGGAGCATATACTGTTTCAGGGAGTAATTCACATGACATTGTATTCAAGGGATTTTCTACTGGTATCAAAGAAGATGATGCGAGTCAAGAAGATACATCTTTCCCTCCCAAGCATCCGGAAAAGTCTTCATGTTGTGGAGCTGGTTGTAGTAATTGTGTATGGTTGGAGTATAGCATCAAGATGAGGCATTACTATGGTGAGAATAGTTTGCAGAATATCCTCGATGAAGTTGATAACCAAGTATCTGACATAGAGTTTCGAGAATTCGTTAAACTAGAAATTCGTACGCATTTTATAGATGGAATGAGTAGATAAGTGTCCAGGTCTCGTGATGTAATTCTAGAATCAATGTTTTGTTCAAAGCTAGTTTAATGTATACACGTGAATCTTGAATAGTTGTTACTGTTTATGTATTGTTTTTTAGTAAGGGGTTCTTGGTAATTTTACTCTGAATTTGTTACCACTGTCATTAATTTCTGTTGCAAAACTGGAGTTCTGGAATTTTCTTTATGTGATTCGACCTGGAATGATTTGTCTTATGAAAGTACATGTTAGTTACTCATAAACATAATGATAATTTTTAACTGAGAATATTGAGTAATAGTAATATAGCACAAGATAAACACTCAGGATTGGAAGATTTCTGTTTGGATAGTTAGAAATTTGGAGCTTACATATGTTATATGTTGTGTAGTTATTTCAGTAGTCGCACTGCACATGAATTAATGTCAGTATTGGCAGGTACTGTAGTGCTTGATTTGCTGTCGGTAGAAGCGATTTGAACTCATGGGAAATTTGTGCTAAAAAAGATCAAGATGGGTAACACAAAAGAATGCTTGTGTGGAGTACTTTTTTTTTTATACTTCAAACCTATAAATTACAGATTTGAGATTTGATTTAGGCTTTGGAAGTAAGCATATGGTAGTTATTTTGTATTGCTTATCCAAGTTTATATTTGTAATGTGAAGTATGAAAATAAAAATTACTTCATACAAGCATTCTTTTGTGTTATTATTAGTGTTTGTATTTATGTTTTCGAGAATTTGCTCAACTGATCAGTGCATTAAGTTTGACTTCTGTATTACATATGTATTATGAGATAACCATCGTGTTGGTATATGGTAATCATGTAGTAAATCAACATCAGCATTTTTTTGATATGCCAAATTAAATGAAGTATTGTATAATGTGCGCAACTCTATTAATGCCATCCTTAATGCACGAGTGTCACGATTGGGCCGCATTTGCAAACATGATGTAGGAAGAGCTTTCTATAGCTGCATCAATTTTTTGGCAACAGGCGTTTATTCTCAAAAGAAAAGCGAGTGATCTAGATAACGTACTTGCATCATTTATTTCTTTGTATACGCATATACACGCATGCACACAATACATTGTTGTGTAAACTGACGCACTTTATACGGCTGTTTGAATAATTATTTTGAATCATTTCCTTAAGCTTTTAGATTTCAAAGAATTCGTTCTTGCTGCAGTAGTTAGTTCACGATTTTACCAACTAAAGCAGTATGGTGGTTTATTGATTCGCTATTTTCGTCATGCGCTTCGAGATATCTGATGTCTTGAATGTATAACATCAGTAAACTGAATTTCAAGAATTGGAAAAAGGAATTGCAAGTTATAGTAGAGTGTTCATTAACATTACTTGCTACTGCGTGAGGGAAAACTTGTTCGCATTATCGTTTATAACGTCGAAATGGAAGATGTTGATCGTTCATTAACTTTACTGCATTTACGTAAAACGTTTAGTGAATTTTGCAAGATACCACTGGGTGGGTCAAAGCATGGTGATAGAAAGTTTGACCGTGTACTTCCTCTTTTTTCAAAGGTAAAGAAAAATTCTTAAAGCCTTGTATTTATTTTTCGATTTGACTGTGTGATATCTAAACACAAATTACTCCGTGTTTTTCAGAAATCTTTTTTTTTCAAATTTTCGGATATGGAAAAAATAATTTTTTAATGATGAGATTCTTCTTAGTATATGCTGAAAATAAATTTAAAGGAAATTTTGTTTGCGATTTATGGTACTATTTGGATAATCATAAATAAATATTTTTGTTGATTTAAACTGCATTGTTTACAAATTATTTTGTCTTCATGTTTAAATAATTATACTGTTGTGAGTAGTGGTCTTTTGACAATTCAAGGCAGGATTATCTCGGCTTCTCTGAAATACCTAAGATTGATTATAATTGCGATCTTTTAGACTAGTATTTTAAACATGACGAGGCTTTTGCAGGTTATGGTGATGTATCCCTCACCAGAAGAAATCGTTGACAAATTTAAAGAATTATGTCCTTTCGCAAGTTATCTTTGTCGTCATCTTGTACAAGAAATACGTTTGAGAGCCTCAAACGAATGTGCGCAATCAGCAGCTTCTGCTATTCTAAATTTTTTGTTACCTGATATCGCAGACTGTCGGGGTTGGACATTGCTAAATGCAGTTTGCTATCTCTGTTTTACGTAAGTTATCTTTACTCAGTTTGCATTACCTACACTGCCTTGGAGAATTAACCACATTTTCATATTTAATTTAAAATTTTCACCATAAGAGCTGAGAACTTAGTTATGTTGTACATTTTTTTTAATATCTACTCAGACTCTGTAACTTCAAGTAGCGCTGAAAATTGCAGGAAACAACTACCAATAATTGAAGTTATGTGTAAGGCAGCATTACCTTCAACATTGGTGAAAGCCTTGTATTTATTTTTCGATTTACCTTCTGTGACTGGTAGAGATATTGCAGTATCAAGACAAAAGTTATTGGGTGTTTTTCAAAAAGTTAGTTTTTTTAGGTTATCGAATGTGAAAAAAGAAACTATTTTTGTGGTGAGATTCTTTTAGTATCTACAAGAATTAATCATTTTACTTACCTTTTATTAGGTTTTGAAAAAGTTGTGTGAATTCAATTGTGTCAATGAGGAGCTTACTCGGAAAGATGATTTGTTTCTTTTATTTGCTGGAGCTTCATGTTCATGTCCTGTAGAAAACATTGAATGGAGGAATGTTGCTTCTCAATTACTTGTCGTTGTGGTCTCAAAAGGACTATCGTCATCCGTCACGAAATATATTCATGGTTGTGATTATGTCTAGTTATTTTCAAATTTTGTTTTTCAGGATTCGAAGTTTTTGATATGTAGGGTACTTATAGAGTATTTGGCTAATTATTCTTACAAAATGTATCTCTCATCCTTTTCATCCCAGTAATTTTTGAGTTTGCAGCAAAAAATTGTGTATCAGTATATTTATCGAATGCATGTAAGGAAGATGAAAGCTTGTCGAATGAAGAACGCATTGAAATGTTCATTTGTTTACTTTGTGTTTTAAAAGATTCCGCTGCGACTGTTAATGTTTTACTGCTAGATTTCGCTCGTGCAAACGGTTATATTCTATTACGGGACTTCATTTTGAAATATGCGGAGTAAGTTTCCATTTGATATGTGATATCATAATTTTGTGAATGGTTGCAACATATAAAATTTAAGTAACAATATTTTTCAATACATTGATGTTTAAAGGTATTTCTTTAATTGTTTAGTGTGTTATCATTAATTTTTACTCTATCGTTTACATTTCTCATTTTTCAGAAATGAAAAAGGAAGAGGAGATATCAAGAATGTTTTATTCGTGATAATGAGCTTGGCAACGTCAGGTGTTGTCGATTTGAAACCCAATTATACACCGGGATTGATTGTGCTTCCGTCATTTAATCTTCCAGTATCTTCAAATAATGGACTCACTTTACGGAACCTTGACGCATTTCGTCTTCTTTTCCAAATTTTTGTACATGTAAAATTTAAAATTTTTAACTGATATTTGAAAGTTTTTGGGAATTTTGGGGTAACGAAAAATTGCTTTTTGATAAGTCATAAGAATCCACGTTTTTAGTCCAAGTGCAATTGGGTATGTGAAGCAGTAATTGATGCTATTCACAATATTTATGCCTCGGATGCGGTTAACTATTTTATCGCTGACAAAGAATGTGCTTTATCTCAATTAATTGAGCATATCGGACAAAAATCCCCCCAGATACAAGTTTGTGTAATATATGTGCAAAATCTGAATTATTCCTTTCAAATTGTGATTCATCACTTTTATTACTTAAGCTGGATGTAGAGCTGGCATTGTATGATGTTACAAATTTCACTTCTAGTATGACTTAGAAATAGGAATATAATATTTCATGTTGCTCTATAATTCAGCTAATTAAGTTCTTATCGTTTTCCACTATAGTATACTACATATTGCATAAATTACTGGAATAAATGTAGGATAAAAATTAAATTGTTAATCGTTGAAGATTAACTTACTTTTGGAGAAGATTTACATGCAATCTTATTTAGTTCTTAGGCAGTTTCGTAATTTATCGCGGAGTATTTCTATTTTTATGAAATTAGTTATATTTTAGCGTAAAATAATGGAACTGGTTGAGTATGTAATTTTGCATTTAAATCACATTCCGTGTAAAGAACTTGTTACGCTAAGCGTTCTTCTGAAAACTGAAATATCCGATAATAATCTTGGATATTGCGTGCTCTTTATGGAGAGCGCTTTAAGGTATACTTTTAGTTATCATTTTTTGCAAAACATTGTTAACTGATGATCATGTCTTTATCGTGTCTATTTGTCGGATATGTCTTTTTTTAGAATACTCTCTGCTAATGGGTTTATGAAGGATGCTTTTCGCGAAGTTGGACTCGTGGAGTCATTAACATGGACGCTACTGCACTTCATTTCAATTATTAAAAGTAACAATTCGTTTATTTTACTCGTATTTTTAGGTTAATTGTAAAATTTCATCTAGTTAGAAATATTAGTTTCTAAAATATATTCTTTAGTTCGCCATTTTACCGAGAGTGAAGGCTGTATTGCTTTGTTATGCACAGATATTCTTTCGATTCTTGTGAGCAACCATGCCAATGCTCGTGAGTTGTTAGTGTACTTGTTTTTTTTCTTTTTACAGTGCTGAAAAAAAAGTAACAATGTTTCATAATCCATATTCTGAGTTCAGGTACATTTCATGAAAGTGCTGGTTCAAAGGCTATTATCGATCTCATTTTATATGGTAGTGAAGAATGGAGAGCTTCTGCTCTGCAGGTATTCTGTTTCATTTGTCTTAAAATTCTTAATACTGGTCTGTTCTTAGTCCAACCACACTTTCTAAATTTTGATTCTTTATTCCACACTTTCTAAATTTGATTCTAGCTTATGAAGCAACTTCTGATTTTTGGTCAAAATGAAGAGCAGTTCACTGCGTTGCTGTTTGTCCTCCATCCTCCATCATCTCATGACATTTCCCTGAAGACGATTTTGATGAAGGTCTACATTTCAAATGATTACTGTGAATTTAGGTCTTCCCGAGAAAAAACTTATTTCAAATCTGTCATGTTTCAGTCGCTTCTTTGTGCTCTCCGGGAAAGTCATAAAGTACGTTTGATGTTTCGACGTGCCGGTGGATATTTGTGTTTGATGTCTCTTCTCGTTAATTTGGAAGGAAAACTGAGTTGTAGAGCTTCAGAGCAAAATCCAGCAATGTTTAATGGTGGAATTACTAAAATTTTGAAGTTCATAGAAATCATATTCAAAGTATTAGCAATCAGCATGCGGTATGAACCATCCAATGCAAGATATTTTTCCAATGAGGTGATTACTTTTTCGAACTTAGCGAATAATTTTACCTTTTAAGTTTTTTGCCATTATTTGATTGAAATGTTCATATTTAGGTGAAGTGGGACAATTTGTGCACAGCGTTACGAGTAACGGGAGCTTTTGTGGAAAATGAACACAAAATTGATTCAGAACACGCAATATGGCGAATTGAACCTTCAGAAATTAATGACATTGTGCAAACTTGCCACAGAGTTTTCGATTTCAATGAATCTATTTATGTGGAGTTAGCGTTATTTTGAATTCATATTGTTGTTTCATTTTATTTGTCATACTTAAGCAAACAAATATATTTAAAATTTGAAACATAACTTGTTTTTTTATAGTTGCTCGATGCCAAATGAAATGCCATTATCGATACTAACTGCTATGTCAATTGTGCGGTTTTTGGTCAGCTTGGCTCTTGATAGTTACGAAAAGTAAATCAATATGCTTAAGTTATGCGTTATAAGATACAAATTACATACCATTCCGTTTTGAAATATTTAGGTCGAGTTCAAAGTGTTTATGCAGTTCTGATGAAACAGCAGGTGATCACGACTCATCGTTTCCAACCTGGACATCTGGTGTAGTTGTTCATCCCGGTGCACTGATTTCAGTGATGCAGCTTCTTCCAGCAATCGATTCTCCTGAATATAGAGTAAAATTTTTTAGTAGCGCAATTACTTCCGTATAAATTATGTGAATAATTATTTTTATTGATGGTCAATAATTACTATACCAGCTCAGTAAAATTATGACTATTTTTCATTATCTTATGGATATTTTTCAAGTACTTGATTGTTTCAAATTTGAAACTTCCTTAGCAAATTTTTAAAATTGGTTTTGTAGTGGAAAGCAGGGACTCAGTACTATTGTGCTTGTTTGATCAAAGCGCTCTTGCGACCAGAAAGAAACCAGCAGATCATGTGTCAGTCAAATATGGCACACAATATTTTGAAAATAGGCGTCAACGTTTTCAAAAGCGAAAAGCATCTAATGCTTGCTCCATTTTACTATGTTTTAGAAAGGCTGTCTTCACATGCAATAACTCCTTCTGATTTAAGGTTGATATAATTTAAAACTATAATTTAAGCAGAGTTGTTCAGTTTATGCTCCAAATATTTTTAAAGAATTTGTACAGTGCACTTTTACATTTTGGGTGGAGTTCATTAAATTTTTCAGTCATTATATGCGAAATATGATATTTCAATTTGAAAAGGTAATAGTTTGACTGAAAGGGTTGAAATTTTATAGATCTTTTTTGCGTCTTGATATGCCGCTTTGTTGTCGGAATTTAGATGAAGAAGAAAATGAAGAACCAGTTAGTGAAAGTGAAGGTGGACCCATTCCAATTGCTAGGTGAAAATGTTTTTTTTTAATTATTGAAAATCTGTTTTGTGAAAATTTGAGCAGTAGTGCAGGAACTGGCTTGGAATTTTGTATAAATTTATCTGCTGCAACGTGTTGTAAATTAAGAAAGTCCCAAGATTGAATATGCATGGTGTTAAAAACTCAGTTTGAAATCAGACATTTCACTTTTTAATTCAGAGTCAAAGCACTGGTCTCAATGATGACACCTCGTGATCATCGAATTGCTCAAAGTCCGTCATTTGTAGAATTTGACATGGCGTTTGAAGGTTTCGCATGTCTTATAATCCCATCTTTAGCACCACTTTCATCAGATTTTGGTGGGGTTGGTCATGGTGAAAGAATCTTTCCACCGTTAAATGGTTTAACATTAATGATGTGAGTCTATTCAGTTAATTTTTTAACTTTATAGATGTACCTATTGAATTTTTGGTTTTCTTGTTCACTATGTACAAATTTTTTATTGTGGTCATTTGCAATATCTGCAAAGTATTATACATTTTTAACTAATTTTTAAGGTGGCTTTGTGTAGAACAGTTTAGTGATAAAAAAACCAATCCACATCCAATTCGGTTGTTTTCTATTTACCGCTCATTTAATTTGTCGAAAAAAGATGACTCTTCGAAGCAGAATCTTCCTCTTGTTTGTTTTTCACTGCAGGTACAAGTTTTCTGCTCATATTTTTTAATTTGTTTTGCGAGCTTTAGTGCAGGATCAATTCATTCTTTTAAAATATATTTATTTTATTTTAAAGTTCTTTGTTATATCTTAGTATAAATGATAGTTATACAGATAAGTTCTATCGATCGTTCACTTATGATTTGTACTGCGGAAAGTGAAACAGCTGGAGACGATTTGGAAAAAGAAAAGAATGCAAGTGATGATAATCTTGTACGAGTTACTTTAGGAGATGCAATATGCACCGGACAATGGATCCATATTGCTGTTGTACTTACCAGATCTGTGCTGAAACATAGTCAAGTAAAAGATTTTAGTGCTGTTTTTTGTTTATTTATAATATTAATGATATTAAGACCAGTACAGTCTGGTTTGAAATCATCATAATAGCTGGATTCAATCCATCTTCCATATCCATAGGCAACTGTTTTTATTAATGGGAGATCTGAAGGAACGTATAAATTGCATTATATTATCCAAAATGTTGGTGGTGGTACAGCTCATTTGTCGCAAGCAAATAGCGTGCACGCAATTATCGGCACACCCCCAGTTTATCGTTCATCAAGCAGGTCATTATTGTCGTTTAAAGTGACTGTTATTTTTATCTCTTATCGAGCATAGTTTTAAGTTATTATCAAAACTATCCAGCTACCTTATTTTAGTTTATGTTTCAAAATTGCAACTGTTGTTTTAATTGAAGAACCAGTCAGTCCCGAAACAGTTTATCAAGTGTATAAGTTGGAACCTCATTATGTTGGAAACTTTCAGGCAAGTTTTAAAAAAGTGCTCGGATGCTTATTTTTGATTTTTATCGCTTTTGACAGAAGCTTATATTTTGATTATTGTTGCAGACAGTATCAGAAGATGCTCCCCTCATTGTTGAGGAACGTATTTCTTTATCATTGACAGCAGTGGCGAACAGTGAATTGAGTGTTTCAAGATTTGGTTTAATATATAGCAAGGCAGATAGCGCTTTCATCGCACGCTATGTATGTTTTTCAACAGCCTCGATTTTTTAAAATTTATCTTGCATTTTTACTGAATCAAAGACTGATTTGTGTTTTCTAGGTTGGTGTTTCAATCCATGATCGAAGCACACCTTTGCGCATTCTCTTGAACACGGTCACTCATGCAGCAGGACCAGCGCGAACTATCGGAGCTGTACTTCTTGGATATCTTGGTATGTGTTAATATTATGCACAATAAAAAGGTTTTATATGCCTTAGTACACAAAAAAAGATTTGCGAAATTTCTTGTTGCTTTTTCTAGGAATGCGACTATTTGCTCCATGTCCGGTCACGAGGCTTTTAGACTGTGTCGGTGGTATCTCTTGCCTCTTTGGTCTGATAGCTATGTCTACAACATCTCAAGAATTATATGCATCATTAAAAGCATTAACAACGGCTGCAAAAACAGATGAAACTGTATCAAAACATTTGATTAGTACGAAATCTTATCAGGCATGCTAATATTGTATGACGTTCATCTCTGTTAAATTTGATAGATTTGAACTTCATAATTAATTTTATTCAGGATTTTAGATCCTTGCTATGCTTTTGGAGGGGAAAAGTGAATTGTTAAATTCGCATATTCTTCATTTAATTTTGTCATTAGTCGGAACATTGGATACCAGTAAGGACACTGTCCATATTTCTAATCTTTCGATTTTCGAAGATATGTTGTGCGATTTGGATGTTTGGAAAAATGCCAGTCCCGATCTCAATAGACTTCTTTATGAACACTTTTATGAATTAATCACTGAGTAAGTCAGCGTTCGTTCTTTTTCTCTGACTAATGTTTTGCAATTATACGTTCTCAGTTTAACAATTTAAGCACCAGAAATTACCGCTTTCAGCCAAAACAGCGAAAATCTCAATTTGGTGCGTCGAAGTACTTTACCCAGTCGTCTTCTTATTCGGTTGTTCGATCATCCAAATTTAATTTTTGCTGTTAACGATATTATTTTCAACCTTTTTGTTACACTTCTGCAGCCTCCTGCTGATAGTTTGTTATTGCTGAAGTAATTTTTACCTTCAAAGTTTGTCATGTTTCTCTAATATAATGCACGAAAATGCTAGTGTCAAAATTTACTACTGAAATGGTAATCATACATATATATTGCAAAGTTTTCACATTTTTTTGTTTATCGCCTATCGTAACTGGTAATAAATAATTTATTAGAAATTACGTACATTTCTTGAATTTTACGTTAGAATGTGAATAATTCAACAAATAATTCTTTTTATTAAATTTAGTTTTATAAAATACTTCTAATAATTTGTGAAATTTGATGTTTGAATTCTGATTTCTTATATTTCACAACTTTCTGTGATGCTCTACAGAATCGGTCAGTTGGTAGCTGGAACACTCCCACTGCCAGGGTCAGATCAGAACGAAAATTCGTATTCATTTTCAATAAGCGATCTACAAACGGCTTTACTTGATAGTAAGCATACGTCAAGTTTTGATCGACTTCTTTATGATATCTACGTACGCAATCGTTTCCTTAACATCCTGGCTAATATCTTGGCGCATTCAAGCACAAACAGTAATTCGCAGTAAGTAACTGCAATCATTCCGCTCATTAGTTTAACGTTAAATGCGTCCTTATTGGTGTTTATTCTTCAAATTATTGTCATTAAAGTATATGCTGCAAGGGAATCGTTTTTGAAACAAAATTGAAACCACCTTTTGTTTTGAAGATTTTGTGACCTCGTCGTTAAAACACTTGGCTTCGATTGGGTACTAGCCTTGTTTACTCCTGGTGTCCATTACGCCACTGTAGTCCTTGGCCTGCGGATCATTCTTGCTTTATTGAAACACGACCATTTAATGCAGAAGTTCAAAGATGGATCAGCGAATGGTGGTTGGTTGACTGATGCAGACTCGTTTGTTCGCAATAGAGCAGCGGTATCTTTTTAGTTGTAATAGCGATTTCAAAATTTTATTTGACATGTCTGAAGTCCTCTATATTATTCTGACTCGGTTGATTAAGTTGATGCAAGATCTTCTGTTCCGATTTCTTTTATAAATCGAGTTCCATTAGGTTTTGCTTGGATTTTCTGTATCTGCATATGGGGGTAATGTTGGAGCTCACGTTGATATCAATCCCGAACTTTCGGAATGCAGTGGCTTTGTAATGTTGGAGCATTTATTGTATTATCATTACGAGAAACCGCAGTGTTATTTAGCGATGTTGGCACTACTTGTTGGCCAGCCAGTGTTAAATATTACGCTTGTGGATAACTTTTCATTCGACCTTATTTGGTCTCATGTTTTTGGACTTTCACTGTCAGGGTAAATTGTTTTTTTTATATTTTCGTCACATTTTGTTTCCTGTGATGTTAAATTTAGTAAATAAGATATCGTATCATTTATTAACTTAAAGACATTGTGATACGAAAAAACATCAAGCACTTTCAATATAAAAACATTTTTGAAGTTCGGTGTCCGAGGCTGTTTCTGGTTTAGATATTTGCTGTGAAGCAATTATACCTTTGCTATCTATGGTTCGAGCTTCAATTCATGCGAACGTATGTTCAAATATTTAATTTTATTATTCTTTGATAATATAACACAATTTTTTATATATAAAATAAATATGAAATGGTATTTTTAAGTTTAAATATATTAGTGGTAAAAATATATTCAGGAAGAGGTGTGCGATGAGTATAAACTGGTGTATTCTTCTACGGTGATCCAGTTGTTTACTTTCTTGTATCAGAATTGTCCAAACTTTTGTAGTCTCTGTCATACCGAAGAGTTCATCACTTCTCTGTTCTGTGTCCTTATACCGGTGGATGTTATGGAATCAGGTGCCACCAAGGATGCAAATTCTTCTTTACTACTTCTAAGCAAACTGCCTAATAGTATGTGATTTCAGACTGCCTGTATAGATTTTTTTAAACAGATTGTGTTTGATATTTTCTCATATTAAAATATCTGCAAATTTAGTTTCAGGAAGAAGCTGCTATCGGACTGTTTTAGATTTAATAAAACGAATTCTCTGTGAAGATATTTATCGTATACGTGTCAGGTCGGAATCCTTATTAGATGCATTGATCGAGGTATCTGCGGGCTGCATTACTTGTTAAAATTTAATGCATATTAATTCATCTTCAGAGTCTTATCGATCTTTTGCAGAACATACCGGAATATGGGTTCTCTCGCCGGTATTGTGCAAATGTTCTTACCGAAATTTTATCCTTATGCATGGAATATATTATTGCTACTGGTGAGGAAAAAGAACAAAGTGCTGAATATTGTAATGACCAGTCATCATTTTTGATAAATAAATTATTTTTCGTATTTCAGACGTTCTGTTAGAGTGTTCACAAACAAGCACTGCAGCAGCTAGCGGAACTGCGGTTGCAACATCAGCTGTCTTGCTTACAAATTTCGCATATTTTTCTGTGAGGATTGTAGACAGTGTTTGGAGCAGTGAGTTCTTCAAAGTATTTTTCACCATCGCTGCAGTGAGATTTTTGTGGTTATTTCTGAGAGTACATTAAAAACAGTCATTATCAAATTTTTCAGGTCTGTACATTGGTGACACAATTCGTGTTCTTAGTTTTTTGTTCAAAAGCATTGCGCTGGTGCGACGTTATGATTTAAAACCAGGACCCTGTGACTCACTTATGCAGTCACTTGGCCGTATCATTTTATATCTCTTGAGCAGACCCATAGATAATGTTCATGGTTTGTTCTATCAATTTCTGTGTATTGAGCTTTATGATGATACAAAATATCATTATTTTAATCGCTACGTTTAAGAGCATTTTTTGCAAACTGTAGTTGCTAGCCATATTTCTAGAATGAACTGCAATATTTTATTGTGAGGATTAAAAATAATTTGGTGTTGTTAATCTTTCCAAATAAATTTTCTCTCTAAATAGAATTGCTGGAAAAGTAATTTCAGTGCAAATGTCGATTTTAAATACGCTTTCTGAGATCATTGTGAACCGTAACATAGTATTTTCTCCGACTCATAATGATCATTTGTTTTTTGGTTCGCTCACACATCTTTTATTTATGCTTTCTGTCACACCGGATATTCTTTTAAAAGGAGACAAGTTATCAAATCTTGATCGTGGTAGTGCTCAGGTGAGCTTTTCCTTTGAAATTCACGTCTTTTCACTGTTGTTTATTGGTTTTGTTTATTAATTGCACCTTTATGTTTGAGGTAGCTGTGTGTGCTTCACAAGTATGGAAAGAGGTTTGTGCAATGAAGCGAAGTCTTTTGGAAGAAGTTTTTCGTAACGGTTTTGTTTGTGAGTTGAATGCAGCACGGGCTTTGTTGTCTCATGCTGCCAGTCTTCAGTGGTTGTCGTTTGTTGATTCGCAGATGAATTCCCCATCGTTGAAGAATTCGACGCAGATTCAGCAGCAGATACAGTCAGTAGGTGGTTGTAATTATTGGGTTAAAATAAGTCCAAATTCTTACTTATGGTCTATATTTCGTTTAATCATTTTCCAGAAAATCACGAAAGTTGCTTCTGGTTTGCAACGTCTGGCTAGTCGAAAAGCTCTAAGTAATTCAAATTCTGTTTCCAGCTTTACTTTTTCACGACAACCAAATATCACCACAGAGGTTAGTTTATATTGATTAAAAAGGCCGCAATAAGCATAATGCAGAATTTTAAGTTTATTAATTATTAACTATTCATAAATACTTTTGCAGGTGATTCAAATGTGGCTCCGTGTACACATATCATTGATCAGAGAACTCATTCGCACTCAATGTTTGTGCTATCATGAATGGCACTCGCATGTGCAGAAATGGTGCATGCAAGATTGGCGTTCTCTTGAAATGGAATTGACAAGGTTCTAAAGACGCGGTTTATTTTGCTTTTTATACAACTGTCTTAATTAATTTTCTTGCAGAGAACGCGGTATTTGGGGTGCAGAACTAGGTTCTTCTTTGGACAAGTTTATGCTAGATATGACTGAAGGACCTTGTCGAATTCGAAGAAAATTGGTTCCTAATCCAGCTTTCTATTACCATTACCCTTATCGCCCTTATCTGGATTCCCCTGATGCTGTATGCTTTTTAGTTTCTTTATTTTCTTTTTAGAAGCAGTTCAAGAAATGGCAAACGGACTTTTTTTTGAAAAACATCTTAAAAATTCAAAACTTGGAAAAAAAAATCACGCAATGTATATTTTTTGATACCTGCAAGTCTTATTGCTTCATAAGTTTTTTGACCATAGAAAGCCATGCGCGCTAAGGTAGCAGTTTCAAAAGACAGCAGGCTGTATTATGAAGCGATGAAGCGCCGACGAGGAAAAATGGTGGAGCACAGAATCATTGATTTGTCATCAACTGTCTTCACTCCATCTGAAGAACGTTCCGATCTATTTTTTTCTGACATGCAAGGTTTCTAAAATCAATTGTGAAAAGAAAAACTTTAGTAATTGAAAAAGTTCTTAGTAACATCCTTAAGAGCTAAAAGACTAATTTTAGTCTTTTTCACTGATATCCAAGAATTCAAAATATCAGTCCCATCTTTAATGCTCCAAGTAATATTAAACTATTAGGTCAAAATAATGATAAAAGTAGTCTCAAAAGTTCATTTCATATAATTATTACTGTAGAGGTCAGTACTTCAATGATTCGTCGTGTATCGATTAAACATGGTGAAAATAAGGAAAGCGATGAAGCAGATTGTTTTATGAATGAAAAAGATATAAGTGAGGGGGATGACGAAAATGAAGTCAGCGTGGACGAGGAAATGAGTAATGAACCACAAGCAGCGAGTGGACAGAAAAACAATAGTTATGAAAAGGAAGGCATGAGTCTTAAAACGAAAGATGAAGGTATGGAACGAAAACGAGGTCCGGATAATCAGACTCTACTTAGACTTTTGGAACAGGTATCTTAAAAATTTTCAATACTGAATGATTTATTTGAAAATTTAACTAACGTCATTTATGAAATTAAATATAATCACTCTGAAAATACTGCTCACAATCAAAGTAGTAATGAATTAATTTCTTTTTTCAGGGTGAGCAATTGCATTCAATGTTTCGTTGCGCTCGAATACAAGGTCTGGATACTAGTGAAGGACTATTACTTTTTGGACAACATCATTATTATGTAGTTGATGGGTTCACCCTTTTAAAGACGAGAGAAATCAGGGATTTGGATTTCCTTCCTCGAGAGTGAATTTTTGATATTACCTGAATTCTTGGAAAATAATTTTTTCGGTGTATTCTTTTCGCATTGTCCGCATAATTTTTAATGGCCGTTATTTTTATTTTTTTTAACTTTACTTTTTTGATTGGTGGTTGGTATTTAAGATTGCATGATCCTATTGTGCCATACATGGCCTGTGGAAATAGCCATCCTGTCCGACGAACGAAGCTCTGTAGTAAATTTTCATACAACGATATTCGTGAGGTACATCGTCGTCGTTATCTTTTGCAACCAATTGCTATAGAAGTATTCTCAGGAGATGGACGCAATTATTTGTTAGCTTTTCCAAAGCGTATGCGCAATCGAGTTTACCAAAAGTTGGCTTTTATTTTCTTCGAAGGACATTCAGGCATTTATTTTCTGTCATATATTGGCATACTAATTTTTTCATATATTAAGGTGTTTTTTACTCATATCTGTTAGATAAGTGTCTTTCTGCTGTTGTGAAAATATTATTTTCAAAATTTATTTAAGAGAATGAATTAGGTTCAATCATCCATTAAATTTTTTTTGGTCAGAATTATAGCTTAGTACACAAAGCAAGTTATTTCAGTATCTTAAAACAATTTGAAAATTCTTAAATTGTATACTAGCACAGTAAAATACAGTTGGAGAAAATACATTAAGGTTTGTTTCGCTAGCAAGGTTGATGAAAGATAGTGGATCGGAATCTGTTGGAGGACAAAGGCTAACTGTACCAGTGGAGCAACCAAGTCGTGTTTCTTTACTTACCTCTTTAATAGGTATTTTAAGATGTTTTCTCATAATTTTTAGGATCTTGAGTAAATAATTACTGATTTTCCTAATTATACTGAGTACTGCTATATTATGTTGTGTTTATGTGTGGAACTTGATGTAATGAAAGTTTAAATACGTTTAAGATATTTTAGGACACCAATCTGTCACTCATCGGTGGGTACGAGGTGAAATAAGTAATTTCCAATATTTAATTCATTTGAATACATTGGCAGGTCGATCCTATAATGATCTTTCTCAGTACCCAGTATTTCCTTGGATACTTCGAGACTACGAATCTGAGGTATTTGTTCTAATATGCAAAGTCCTTGAATCACAGTATTTTTCTTGTTGAATTCTTTAATCTATATGCATTATATCTTTGTTTTTATTATAGGATCTTGATTTAACGAATCCAAGTGTATTTCGTGATTTAAGCAAACCGATGGGAGCACAGAACCCAGAACGTTTAGAGCAGTTTTTAAAGAGATATCGGGAGTGGGATGACCCAACAGGTGAAACGCCTGCATACATGTATGGCACTCACTACAGTAGTGCAATGATTGTTGTATCTTATCTTGTACGCTTGGAACCTTTCACACAACAATTTTTAAAGCTTCAGGTATTGAAATTTTTAGTTCCGGTTCCGAAAAGAAGCGGCTTTTTAACATTCATTGAAAGCATAAGTTTTTGTCAGTAATTTTTTCTTAAAATTATCTGTCAACCTTTTTGTCGTAGTTATCTATTAGCAATAAGAATTTTTAGGGTGGACATTTTGATTTGGCTGATCGAATGTTTCACAGTGTTGGAGATGCTTGGCTTAGTGCAAGCCGTAATAATATGGCAGATGTAAAAGAACTGATACCTGAGTTTTTTTCTCTCCCCGAAATGTTTCTCAATCTAAACCATTTTGATTTTGGTGTGAAACAAAATGGTATAGCATTAAATGATGTTATACTTCCTCCTTGGGCAAAAGGTGATGCCAGAGAATTTGTGCGTATACATCGACAGGTGATTTATGGAAATAAAATAAATTTTTTGATGTTCTTCACTGTTTGCTTGTGTTTTTTGAAGTTTTAAATTTCAGTTTTTTTTATTCAGTATTTTCCTACAAAAATTTTAATTCATTGCTTTTCCGTATAAGTGATTTCAAGCTGTTGGTCAAATATAATACGGAAAAAAACGTTGCTTTGAGGCGCTAGAATGTGATTACGTATCTGCTAATTTGCATAACTGGATAGATTTGATCTTTGGTTACAAACAACTTGGCGACTTTGCAACAGAAGCAAATAATGTTTATCATCATCTTTTCTATGAAGGCAATGTAGATTTCGAGAATATAGAAGATCCGCTAACAAGGTATGCTTTCAAAAGTTCTCTGTGCCAAATTTTTCATTTATTGGGCTATCTAGACGAGATTCGAAAAGTTTCTGTTCAGAATTAGCAATGTTATCAGTAATTTTATCGTGGTATTCGTTTTCAATTGGCATATCATTATAACTACAGGAACGCAACTATTGGGTTTATCAATAATTTTGGCCAGATTCCATCTCAGTTATTCAAGAAACCACATCCGCAGAAAAAAGTTACATATACTGATGTTTATTCATCAACTCCAGGAGTAACAACACAGCGATTATTTTATCATTCATTTGATTCATTAAAAGTACCATCGCAACCTATAAAAGGTTATTTTTGGAAATTAGATTTGGTCATGAAAGAACTGGTCATATTTGGCTGAATTTTATTGTACAGTTCTGAGTTGAAATAAACGTTTTTAGAACTAAAATCAGCAGTGGGAAGTCTGATTCCAATTGAAAAAGGTGGAGTACTTGCACTAGAAGTCAATCGCTCATTGCTGTTGCCAAATCGGTGCATTTCCTGGGGATTTCCTGATAGAACTATCAGAGTTGGTACAATTGATGGTGATCGGGTAATTTTTGTTCAGTCTTTAAGTGTGAATAATACCACTCAACATTTATGAACTTTGATAATTCTTTAAAATAGCAACAATTTTGTATAATTCTAATCTTTAATCAATTTTGAACTAATGCTGTAAATATTGTAGTCAACTTGCATATATGAGATGCGCGAAAGCGCGGAAATAACTTGCTGCACATGTGGTGATTCACAAACAATTTTCACTGGTTCCAGTACGGGTAAAGTATGTGTATGGGATATGATTGACCGTTATCCTCGAATTCGTTTTCGTCGTACATTAACAGCTCATACAGAAGCAATCACAACGCTAGTTTCATGCTCTTCACAAACTTTACTCGTTAGTGGTAGTCGTGATGGCACTGCAATTTTGTGGCATTTAACTGCACTAATATTTATTCGGCAGTTACGACCACATCCATCTGCAGTCACAGCTGTTACTGTCAATGATGCAACGGTTCATTTTCTGAGATTACTTAAAATAATTTAAATGTAGCATTGCACATCATTTAGAATTGAAATTTATAAGTATTTTACATTATAGGGAGACATAGCTACAGCATCGCGATCAATGTTGTTTCTTTGGTCAGTCAATGGACGTCTGTTATCTGTGGTTGACAGCTTTGACATAGCTTCATTTGATCAATACCCTAATGTTATTTTGTCTGTGGCTTTTTCTACGGTGATTGTTTTTTTTTCTTTTAGTTTTGTTTAAAGCTATAAAATCATTTTTCATTGTCTTTAAATTTTAAAACTTTTAATTTATAGTTGCATGAATGGGACCCAGAAAATGTTATCATCTGTGGCGGTAGTGATGGTATAGTTCGAGTGTACTGCATGGAAATGGTTAAAAGTGATGATGACTCAAACCAAAATGAGTCATCAATGTATGCTTCATATCTAATGAAAATTTTCATTTCAAATAGTGCACGAAATCTATGAATTCATTCCACTTTCCTCTTGTTTCCTTTCTTTTTTTTAAAATTGCATAACGGTTTTAATTTATATTTTGCTGTTATGGAAATATTTAAGAACACTGCGAGCTACTAAAAGCAGTGCTGCAACTACTCTACAGCAGCGCCTTGAAAGACAACGGCGTCGTTTACTGGTGACATCTTCTGCAGGGAATTCACTTGATACTCCTTCTGTTGGAAGTCAAGCTGGTTCACCAGAACCACTTTTTTGTGCCATTAATACATATGATGTTGGTGAAAAATTGAATGATGACTGGGTTAGTTGTTGTGTTTTTTGTCAATGTTTTTAAATTCTTTATTCTTTCACAGTTTTAAAAATAAGACTGAGTGAATATTTAGGAGTGTCAGGATACTGAAATTTTCCGTTCTGAAAAATTGGCATGGAAAAATTTGCTAGTACCGAAGTTTTCACTCACAACCCATACAGCTTTCAATCGTGAAGATAACCCACAACCTGCTCCTATAACGGCAATCACACCATCAAAGTTAGATCAATTTTCTTTTTAAAAATAATTTGTGAATTAAGCACTAACCATATGAGTTTTTAAGAGACCATCGAACTTTGTTTGTTGGGGATGGCGTGGGTCGCGTTTGGAGCTGGCAAATTAGCGACGAAGTTGGCGCACGTGCAGACCACTGGGTGCAAGATCCTAGCAGAAATGCATGTACACAATGTATGCAGAAATTCTCGCTAGCTGAAAGACGGCATCATTGTCGAAACTGCGGGCATATTTTTTGCAACAAGTTAGTTCTTATCTGACAACATGTTTTGGTAGTGTAGCGCATTATACGAGAATTTATTTTTTGATCTTTAAAATGAGTGTAATGTGGGAGATATTTTATGAAGAAGCAATATTTGTCTGTTTTAGGTGCAGTCGTTTTGAGACGGATATAAAACACATGAAAATCTCGAAACCAGTTCGTGTTTGTCAGAGTTGTTTTTTGCGGTTGAAAGCGGTAGGAGTGTCTTAAGAAGAAATAGAAGCACTCCAGGAAAAAGTTGATCGTATATACTTTCCCGTCTGTATTACACTAGTCAGCTTAGCTTGGAACGTTTACTGATGATGATATTTTGCGATAAATTCTCTTGATCTCATACTTCGTTCTGATGTAACTCTTTGTGACTTGGCTTTTCCATTTCCGATCATATTAGTTTATATTTCCACGCACTATATAAATTTTATTACGAATTGCTGGTATCACTCCTATCATGATGTTGTAATTACTTCCAGTATGTTAAGATAAAATTAGAAATTTTATTGTTGTATGTAGAGATATCTAAGCTGCTATCATTTGTAGTTGTAATATCTTGAATCACTGTGGGGAAAGACGATTTGTTTCATAGTCTATTCGTTTTCTTGAGACTTATTAAATATTCAGTGTTAAAGAGTCCGTTCAATGACGAAATAGCACTTGCTTGCATAGTGCATGTACCTACATGAGTTCCACTGTAACGTGTCTAATAGCCCTTCAAATACCCCATATCCCATGCTAGCTGGAGGTGATGTAGTGTGACGGTTGGTTGCATGCGTACTATATTTTTCGCGTTTGGGAAGTATTGCATAACATTTTGAGTTGGGTCTTTTTTCAATGTGAAATGAATCTAGTGAGAAACACTGGAGTAGTGCACGACTTTTCTTTATAGAATATCGAACTGTGCTTTTGTTCCTTAGAATTTAGACTGCCTCTAAAGTAATAGCACATATAGGTTAAGGCTTGTATAAATTCATGCATTATGTGAAGTTTAATTAGCACTTTTACCAATTTAGTCAATACTAAGGAAACTTCGCACTAAAGAGTTGCAGTTCTTAGAGACATGGTATCCCAGTGATATCTCCAATGGTGTGTAAAATTTTAGGGCTTCAGTGTGAGCTTAGCTTAAATAGTAAAGGTTGGAAATTTCTAGTTCTGCTAGACTTCGATAGGTAATGATAGTGCCGTTACTGATAGGAGATTTACATAAATGAGGGCGTCATTGCGCTTAGTGGTTAACGTTCTAGAAGGTTTAGAGGAGCACAGACATAGAATTGCAGTGAGACGAGAGTTTTCACGTGGTACTACAGAAATGTGTCACAAAGGCATGGCTGTTGTGGTTTGAAGTGTACGTGCAGGTGCGAAGCTTTGCTGGTTGGGTTATGTGATGTCGTGGTTGGCTGCGAGGTTGTGGACAGTGATTGGTTGGAGTTGATTGGGTGGTGTGCGGTCGTTTTAAGCGTGCATATCGTAACATCAAGAAACCGTTAGTATATATGGCCAGTAATTAGGCAGTTCATGACTAGCGATTCGCACAGGAAGTGATCAGTTTTCGTCAAACTAAGGAAACGGACAGTTTTGGTTGTATAGGTATATAGCATTTGCCACTATTCATTTCGTAGTTGAAGTTTTGCTGATATTTCCTAAAAACTTACATTTGAAGCTCTGAAATTGCTGATACAAATATCCAAGCGAGATGGCTCTGAAGCGGATACAGAAAGTGAGTGTTTACTTTACATTATAAAAGCGATAATAATTCTCGAACGTGTTTTGCATTTAAAAGAAGCATTCAGAATAAAGGCTGTCCATTCGGTTTTAATAAGTAGCTGTAAGAGCAAAGTGTTTTTTCCACTGGCTGGTCGTCTTTAATTTTTTATTCACAGATTGTTATATAGATATATAGATATATAATTATCTGTGAATAAAAAATTAAAGACGACCAGCCACTGGAAAAAACACTTTGCTCTTACAGCTACTTATATATACAGCAACATAATAGAGTTGAACTGGACAGAAGTTGACCTTTGGTTTTAAACTGTTATTTGCATTTAAATTAAGATACCTATATGTGGTGCACTGTTTTCCTGTTTTAGGAATTACAAGATCTGGGTAGAGATCCTCCAGCACAGTGTAGCGCAGGACCTGTTGGTGACGATCTTTTTCATTGGCAAGCTACTATAATGGGCCCACCGGAATCTCCATATCAGGGTGGCGTATTTTTCTTGACAATTCATTTCCCAACGGATTATCCATTTAAGCCACCAAAGGTAAGAGCTGTGATGTAACATGTCGTTGAATGGGTCTAAAAAGCATGTTTTCAAATTTTTTAAATATTCAACTATATGAAATTTATTATCGGAAAAGTTCTTTTATTGTGAAAGGTTGTTAGACTCAGTCACAGCATGCATCTCTCATGAACCTTTTCATTTCCATTATGATTATTTCTTTGCTACTACTTTTTTGTCATATGTTTATTGTATCGTCAGTGGTGCTATGAAGGCAGCAGGTTACTAACATAATAATCCTAGCTTACAGTAGTAGAAGGCATCTGTTTCATCGTACTCTTTGTATGGGTTTTTTTTAATTAGATTTGATATATTTTTTTATTATTTCAGGTAGCGTTTACTACTCGTATTTATCACCCAAATATCAACAGTAATGGTAGCATCTGCTTAGATATTTTACGTTCTCAGTGGTCACCCGCTCTCACTATTTCAAAAGGTAGAATAGTTTGCAAAAAATTTTATTCAGGTCTGGAGGCTGGACTTCTTTCATTTTTGTTAAATAATTCCCATTTTGAATTAACAAATGTTAGTTACCGTTGTTGAGAGCTATATTTGAATTAACCATTTACTCCGCGAGTTATCATTTTGAAAAAACAAAGTTACTAATATTATTATAATGACATACTTTTTAGTGTTATTGTCCATCTGTTCACTTTTATGTGATCCAAATCCTGATGATCCATTGGTACCTGAGATTGCACGCATTTACAAGACGGATCGAGAACGATATAATCAGCTAGCTCGTGAATGGACTCAAAAATACGCAATGTGATAATTTAGAACATATTAGTGGAGTTGCAAGTTGATCTGTTTTGTTGCCTTAATTAAAAATTAGAACGTTCATATACATTCAAGTGTAGTATTTTTTCTTGTTTGGTTAGAGAAAATTTTAATTCTACTGTTGAAATTCATTTCCTGTGTTCATGAAATGTGTATGACCCCATTCCTACTGTTTTTCCTTGCAGCTCTACTTCATTATTTCTATATGTAACTGTAAGTTGAGTGCTTATTCGAAAAAAGTTATTTGGATGTTTTTTTTTCCAGTACAAGTTCACCGTAATCTTTTTTGTTGTATTCCTTCTCTTTATATTTTTAAACTAATATACGCAGTGTTTTTGGAGTTCATTGTTTGTTTTATTCTATGAACTTTTCTTTCTTTCATCGCAGTCCTTCCTGCGTTTAAGTCATGGTCGTGAACTTCATAATAACAGTTCTCCATTTTTATATAAAATTTTGAACCAGGCGTTTCAACTGTGCTTTAATGTTTTATACTTCTCGCTTTGAGGAAAAGCATATTTATTTTGAACTAAATTACGCTATTTTTGTTGAACATATAATGGAGTTTTCAGTTACACGTTCTTACTAAAATTAATCTATAATGTGGGTAGATTTTTGTGCTCTCGGTTTGTTGTGATCGAGGTACCTTCATGCGTTATTTCGTCATATCGTCTCACAGATATACAGTACTAGTCTCTCTGTAGTATCTTTTGGATTTTTCTTTTCGTCCTGAACTTTGATATGGAAGTCGTCATATCCCTTCATTCATATAAGAGTATCATTAATGTCGGCTGAGGTTGTTTAGGAATTGTATATTTCATTTCAGGGGATGTTTGATTTAATGTGCATGAGCATTTACAAAGGTTTGATCTACTATGAAGCGATTTCAGGGTCATTAGCTTTTTAAATGCTCTCTTATGAAATCATCGAACTAGGAACTACGTCTAACTGTCTTTGTGGCTGATCAGGATAAGGTTGAGATGAGTGCGGTCAAACAGGATACTGAGGATGGGTCAAGTGTTTATAATGTAAATTTCTAAAAATTTGCATTTCGTAATTTCTCTGTAGTATTGTTCTAGACCACACTGCCGGTAGTCAAATCAGTTTCGAAGATTCTTGCAGAATTTGATATTTGGATAAAGTGAAGCTTGGGTGGTAGTCTTGCTACATTGGGACAGAGTTGTGTAAAATGTTTTTAATTTTTACCATGGTTCTGTATTTGAAATAATTTTAAAGTGCATTTGTTTAGGTTAAATGGGTAGGCGTGGAAGGTGTTGATTATGCAGTTGTTATGCAAAATCATAATGGTCCGTGTCCGTTGTTAGCAGTTGTCAATGCTCTTCTGCTTAGAGGTTGTGCTTCAGTTTTTGCTACACTGAATCATTTCGCTGTCATCCAAGAGTCTTGATGTTGGAAATAACTCATCTGTTTCCAAAAGTTTTACACCACGTTCAGGTGATGTTCATACTTTATCAATGATATAAGATGTGTTGGAATTTGAAAGTTGAAACATGGATTAGCTTTAGGGCAGATTGTGTTAAAGCGCGATTGTGTAAAGATTAACGAAAATGTGCTGATTCAATTGGTCGCAGATTGTATCGTTCGTCTCAGACCCGATGTAAAGATTTTATATTGCTACTGTATTCTGTAGTTTTCTGTGGTGATTATTAAATCTAACCTAAGAAAGGAGTATTTATGTGTAATTGATCAGATGTGGTGAAATGTGTTGCAAATTTGCACTGTATTCAAAGCTTCGAAGTCTTTTTCTAAATATTGCCGGTTAATGTCCTCATTGCTGCTTAAAGTCTCTGTATTGATTTTCAGGATTTAGATGAAAGCGAAATATCAAACTATGAAAAAAATGTGTCTGATGTGCTGACTTTAATACCCTCTCTTTCAAAGGGCTTAGATGTTAATGTCTTCTTTACTGGGTTTGTTGTGCCTTTATGGATTTTTTTAGCAAGCATGCATAGTTTGTAGTTGTGGCTCTTATGGTTATTGTGTTTCCATCAGTGAGTTTGATTTGGATTATTGCAGTGTGCACAAGTTTGAATACACAGCAGCCTGCGCCCTTTTTGATGTTCTTAACATACCATTATTGCATGGTTGGATTGCCGATCCAGAAAATCAAGAAATGGGTTTGTTAATTCCTTATCTCTATCACGAAAAGGAAAAGTTAAGCATTCGGTATAATGCTGTTTTATGAAAATTTTGGAATCTACTGGCGAAGATTTCATTTTGTTGACATATTTCATTTTCGCGACACACTTTTGTAAACCAGTTTAGAGAGTTTGTTCCATCTATTTTGCAGAAATAAGCATTCACATAAGTTTGCCACAGATTTATAAATTATGATCGGAACGATTTTAAGCATCGTAATTGTAGTCCTGGAATAGATATTTACAATGTCGCACGTAGCATACGGCATAATTACAGTTTCGTCCTACAATTTTTTTCAAAAATGGTCAAGTAATTGTGTTCAGTATTTTTTTTTCAGTGCAAACAATGGATGGGCTGAGTTACAACCGTTTAGTAGAAAAGTTAGTTAGCGATGGTAACGAGTACGAGAAGAGTCTGCTGCAAAGCTTTTTGGATTCTAGTCCATCACAGTTGACCATAAAAGGCATTTTAGATTTGCAATCAAGGCTTAGAGATGGGGAAATTGCTGTACTTTTTCGGAATAATCACTTTCACACGCTCTCAAAGAATAAGGTACATAACCAAGAACTTTCTTCGGTTGATGTAAATAGTCTTCACTCTTTTTTCACATAAATTATAGTACATTTCTAGAATGTCTTATACGTATTAGTCACAGACAGTGGCTTTTTGACTGAGACCGAAATTATGTGGGAAACTTTGGAAAGCACAGATGGGAATTGCGTTTTAGTGGATGCTTCTTTCAATATGCCGCATCATACCAGTTCCTTTGTTAGCGAAACAGCTGAGTAAGTGCAGTTTATTAGCTTTCGCTCTTGGTAGTCACTGCTTGCAGTCCTAGCTTTAGTGATGTTAAGTAGCTTTGTTCTCAGTTGTTCTTTCGTAGCATATCTTTTATTGACATGCTATAATATCTTCAAACCATAAAATACAGTGGCATATAGTATCTGCCTATTCGTAAATTAAAAAAGTATAAATCTTGTCTGTCGAAATAATGTTCTGAATTTACCGGTGACAAAGTATTGAATGTTACTAGAGACGACTGATTTACTGACTATAAAACGATTTTTTAACTTTAAAGTTTTGAGGTCCATATTGAATCATGAGAAATCAAGTTGATCAATTTCAGATTTTTATTTTTAGTTACTTATTAGCACTTTCCTTACAAGCTGAAGAAGATCAACGCAGGGGTGTGTAAATAGTACGCTCCTTTCGGTCATCTCAAAATATATATCATTTAACTGAACAATAATCACCTCATGTTAACTCAAACCTCTTGCTTGATGGCTTGTTATCATTGGTTATCTGCATCTATAGAGTGTTTAAATTTGTTTCGTAGTAGATATTTTTATTTCAAATGAGGATAGTTTTTTAGTTCTTGAACTAAATGAGATCTGAGTATTTTGGTATTCAAAAAAGGTTTTTTTAAATCAGTGTTAGATATAAAGCAGAGAACCATGTCAATTTCTTTTTAATTTGTTGTTTGACATCTTTTTCATTGTTATTTTATTGCTTAAAATGTTTGTGGACATTTTCTCTGTACTGTGTGGAAATCTTAAAATAATTTCTCATGAGTTCACTTTGATTGTTTGCAATATAGGCTTTGTTAGAATCCAGGAACCTGATGTGGCCTTTAATTATGAGATCTTATGAAATATTCGTCGGGTTATGCATTGGAATAGTAGATATGTTTTAGACAACTTCAATCATTTATACATTCGTTGTCTATTTTTTGCTTAAAAATTCCTTATCAGATTTATTTATGCCTCGCTGGTAATTCATGTGTTATGGTTTTTTGGTGACTTTGATGCCAGAATCATAGCATTATCCAACTTGATCATCTAATGGTTGCGTCATAAAAATTTTATAAGGTTTTTTTTGCCTTAAAATGAGGCATATTATAAAAAGTATCGCTCGTTTTCTATGTGAGGAATTTTTGTGCGAAGTTTCGATCATTTAATAACAGGTTTGTGGTTATGTAGTATTCGATTAAAAATTTCGCAGTCATTCGATCATTATAGCAAGTAAATAATTCATGAAATGACGTACTCAAGAGAATTCCCTTTGTCGGGGCTGCATATGGTTTTTTTTTTAATTGGCAATGCGTTAGTGTATAAAAACGCTTGGCTACTTGCATATTTTTCTGTTGCCTACCAATTTTTACCACTGGTCGCCATTTCTTGGATTGAATGGTCTGTGTTTCCGCAGATTTGTTGCGCTAGTTTTCAGGTTAAAAAATTGAAAGACCATTCAAAGTTTTTCATCACGTTCAGATTCGTTCATTGATGGCGATTAAATTTGTTCCCTTCACGACATTCATTGACCCGCTGTTTTGGGATGAATTATGTCAACGGAAGTTGAATGACTGGAAATTAGATGAACATCCACATGCGATTGCTGCTACATATTGCAACCGTACTTGATTCTTTTAATTTATTTTAATTCATTGTCTAGAAGTGGATTAATTAGCAGGAGATGATCAGAATAGGGTGGAGTCACGTGTTCTGCTCTCTGAGTCTCACATTGTTGAAGGGACTGGTTTCGTTTTGTCCACATCCCTGTTCATTACATTAGCAGACTTTTATGGCAGCAAAATTTTTATGAAAGTCCACAGTAGTTTTTGTTAGTTGATCCAAAAGATCTTAAATTATATCAATTGAATGTTCTACTCAGATGATGCTTACATCCTCAGCACTAAGACACGTTTTGCCTCCTCCTATCAAAAGTCAGTTAAAATTCTGTAAAGTTTCGAAATATCACGTGTAAAATGACATAGTGATCGCAGGAAAAATTTTGGTATTTATAACAATGGAGAAATGGATCCATTAGAAGTGATCTGGCTTTTTCAGTCTCCGTTTGATGTATTTTGGGTAGATGAGTTGTAATTTTCTTTATTATAGAAGATGCGGGTACCTCAAGTACAAGACTGTCATTTTCGTATGATGCATTTATGGCAAAGACAAAGAATATTAAAAACGTCGTATTTGTCTGTGGCTTAGTTCAAGCTGTAAATACATACGAGAATTTTAAAAATCTGGACAGAAAACAAATACTACGCAATGCTGCTCAAAAGGTTTATTTTGTACGCTTCAAATTATACCATTTTCTATATATGTCAAGTTCAACTTTTAAAAGCTCTTGTCTCACCATCATTTTTAGGTGAAAATGTGTATCGAATCACTTCAGTGGCTGGACAAACCATCATTACTGAATACATTTTATCTTACAGTATATGCGGTTAATTTTTACCTTTGAAGATCCCAATTATTTATGTTCTGAAATAAAAGTTATAGTAGGTTTGCTTAAACTTTTTAATTGCAGGATTTGAAAAAGTATACTTTTCAATATTGGAATTGCATTCCTGCTCTCCTCTTCCCGCAGACAATAAGGATACTCTCAGTTCCTGTACAACTTTCTGCTGAATTAGCAACTTCAATAGCAGTTTTTTTCTCTTTACACAATAATGAGTCGTTTTTGTTGGTTAATAAAAGACCATCACCTTTGTCATTGATGCTTTCGAAAGATTTTGTATTAAGTGATGAAGTTTACGTCGTTTACTCAGATCCATCAACTTGGATGACTCTACCTGGATGGCCTTTAAGAAATCTTTTAGCAGCTATAGCTTTTATTCGGTATGTTTATTTTAGTGTGGTTATGGAAGGAACGAATTCGTTTATGATATATCATGAACACTTTATTCCAGAAAAGATTTGCACAACCTTAAATTCATCTGTTATCGGAATGGTGCTGTCCCGAGCATTATTATTCATCTCGGCTGGGAAAATGATTGCCATCTAAGTGATGCAGCGGTTGGCTGGGAACGATTGAAAGGTTCGCTGTGTCCAGCATCCATCAATTTACAAGGAAGTCTAGACCCATTAAAGTTTGCTGCCATTTATTTGTTTTTTCATCTCTATGTACTAAAAAAGTTTAAAAATTTTTTTTCAGTGCTGTTTATGAGAGCGGTTTTTAAGGATGCTCTCTCTTGATATGATTGAGAATGTGTGAATTTAAATTATATTTGTCATTTTTGTAATTGAAACTTAAGAGGAGAAGAAGAAAGAAAGAGTCATGAGTTCTCATAGGTCATCAAAGGTTTTAAAAGGATGCATAATTCAGACTACGAATGTTTTCACTGACTGCATTCTTCTTGTTTTACATTTGTTCCTTGAGTCTTTTAATGTATTTTACACTTATTTTGTGCGCTATTTATAATATTGTATCAGTGTTTTAGTGGCTAGGCACTATCTCTAGCAATCGATTTTCTAGTATTTCATTTCAGACTGATGGACTTCAGTTCTCAATTGAATTTGCGCTTGATTCGTTGGCGTTTAGTTCCTGATATTAACCTCCAGCGATTTTTGGATTTAAAGTGTTTAATCTTGGGAGCTGGTACTTTAGGTTGTAATGTAGCACGTTCACTTCTGGGTTGGGGTGTCAAAAATTTTACATTTGTCGATAATGGATATGTATCATATAGTAATGTTGTTAGGTGCGTCGATTTTTTCATGTTCAGTGTAGCAAAAATTTGATCGTTCTTATGTAAGAAGTTATTTACGTGAAGATGTTCTTTTAACCTTTATATATTACTTTAAAATCACTCATAGCTGTTTACTTTTTATTTTTATAAGTTCGGATTGCTCCAGCTGTGTCGGCAGATTTTTATAGGCAGTCGTTGTTCACTTTTGATGATGCAGCAAATGGCGGCAAATTAAAAGTTGTCACAGCTGTAGAAGGTCTCCGTAAAATAAACCCTCTCGTTAATGCAAAAGGTGTGCACATGAAAATACCGATGCCAGGGCATAATGTATCAGATCAAGGTACTTTTTCTTAATTTGTGATATAATGACATTTTAGTGCCACGAAATTTTATGGTCAGTAACTTACATCTAATGTATTTGCCGCGAATCATAATTTAGAGCAGGCAGAAGTTGAGAAAGTCGTTAATCATTTGGAGGACCTAGTGAAAGATCATGATGTAACATTTTTATTGCTTGATAGTCGAGAAGCAAGGTGGCTCCCTACGCTTCTGGCTACTCTCTATGGCAAAGTTTGTTTTTGGACATGTAATTTTTCTGTGGTTTCGGTGCAGTTAATTTAATGCAGATATAATTTTATTAAATTACATATGAAGTTTTGTGATGAACTCATTATTTTCTCGATGATACCTTAAAAATGCTTCTTTCTAAATGTTACTTTGAAATTTCATTAAAACTCATGTATTTCTTAAATTTCGTTATAACCTATGGCTCTTCTAGTTAGCAATTAGTGTCGCTCTTGGATTTGATTGTTTTGTTGTGATTCGTCACGGCGTTGCAAGCTATGAATCTCACAGAAATCCTCAACAGTTATCAAATGATCTCAGTCTCATTCCTGGTTCTGAGCTTGGATGTTACTTCTGTAGTGATGTAACAGCACCTGGTAATTCTTCCATTGACAGAACTATGGATCAGCAATGTACAGTAAGTCCTTAAGCTATATTACGGTCAGGATTTTTGTTTGTTTCAAGTTTACAGTCATCTAACTTGTTCGGAAACAGTATGAACGTTCCAAAATGACTGTGAAATAAGATATGAAAAACCATAAAATATTCTCCATTAAACTTAAGGTGAGTCGTGCAGGCACATCCTTAGCTGCATCTGGTACTGCCGTTGAATTACTTGCAGCAGTTATTCAACATCCTAACATGGGACACTCTCCAGCTCATCTAGGAGAGAATGACGAATCAACTACGGTTCTTGGTGCAACTCCCCATCAAATTAGATCTTTCCTTTCGAGATTTACGCAGGTAAAATGAATATTGAGTACCTCTATTCCGTTTCTCTTTTATAGATTCCGATCTTGTCTTTTTATAGATGACTCCCACTGTAAGGCGTTTCGAGCGTTGCGTCGCGTGTGGATCTGCTGTACAAGAAGCCTACCGATCCAGCGGTTTTCAGTTCTTATTGAAAGTATTTAACAGCCCCGTGTATTTGGAGCTTATTTCCGGATTGGGACAATTACAGGCAACTGCTACACAAATGGATTTATGGGAGTTTGACGACAATGAAAGTGTTTCATCAACCTGAAGAATCTTTTAAAAAGTATTTTTCTTCACGTTTTTCATATCTAGTAGCTAAGATTGTAATATTCGAAATCTGATTTAGTGACTAGTTTTGCAGGTTTAACAAATGTGAAAGATTTTATTATCTAACTTGTTCTTTAAATTAAATATTATAATATGGAATGGACAGCTTGGATACAACAATGGTGAATAGCTTAACGCTTTTACAACACATTAATTTGTAATCCTTTAAAAAATTTGTTGATTGTAGATGTCCCGTTTCATCCTAACCTTTCTATCAACTTTATGCTGATATCAGCTTTGACGTAATATGATTTTTTTTTCTTAACTTAAACATATTGTAATTAGATGCCATGTGAAATAAGGATATGATATAAATATAATTTGTGTAACTAATGTGTAATTGAATTCAAAGATATGAATAGTCGGGCATTATCGTACAAGTAGCATGTTCTTTACATCAATACGATTATATTTACAAGCAAGAACTATAGTGAAAATTGCAACTAGCTGAATGACTACAAAGTGTTGAGGGTGTATATGAAGAATGTGTATCATTTAATATGTTGATTCCTGAATTTTGCATAGCGTTCCAACTCTTCTAAGCTGAAGCTCTTCACTCTTTTAGCCACGCTCTAAACAGATGTGCTTTAAAAGTTTTGCGAAGTCTGTGTTGTAGACTATTTCAAAAATCACGAAATGATGTTAAAATAGGTCATATACTTGCCAAATTGATTCAGCAATCCCAAATATTTCTAATTTACGGAGTCATTCATGAAAACTAACTACTTGATATTTTTCAACGATTACTGGCAATAAGTTGGCAGGGCATCTTTCGTGAAGTAAAGAGGTCAAAATCCGTGAGACTCCTGATTTCATATCAATAGACGGGAAATACACAACATTTATGCGACTATTATCTTCAATCCCATATGACTCCAAAGTTGCTTCTGATTCTGAACTATGTCATATAACGGAAAACTGTCAGAAATTAAATATAGTTGTAGTATAGCAGAAACTTGAAAGAGTATGAATCTACAGCATAAAAGGACCTACTATAATAAATAATAACCTGTCATTCATTGTCTAATAATCCCGTCTTCATTGTTCAATAGATAATTCTACGAGCATTACACCTTTTAAAAGAACAGGCTTCCATTTTAAGAAAACTCACTACTTAAAGGATGTCCTCTATGAAGGAGACGCATTGCATCCGGCAGCAGATCTAAAATACCGCCGATCCTTTCCTTTAAGTCTGCTACTGTATCTTTATTGCTAACCTGAATAATGCCCAGGAATTAAAAGTTTTACAAACAAGGGATTTCTTTACTATAAAGTTACAATAACCAACTTAATCAATAAAAATGGAATAAATAAAAATTACACAAAGTGTAAAGCCAGTATCCTTTGTGTTTACTCTTTTTACATACAGTTTCATTGCCAAATTTATCTTCCTATTGCGTTGGAAAATAAGACCTCTCTACAGTTCTCTGAAAATAAAGTTCCTATCTGAACATCAAGACATGAAGCGTATTACTTGCCATTGATAATAAAACGGGTAATAAGATTTCCTGTTTTTTCACAAGAGAGTAAATGAATGAAATAATTCAACATATAAAACCATAGAAATGAAGAATGAAGTAGGACACAGACATATTAAAGATCAGATTTTTATGCAGTTCATAGCTATATGGTCATCACATAAACAAGCTCATTATTATGTAAGATCCATTCCTAACTATAAACAAATTAGAACGAGACACATGAAATTCACATAGATTGCAGTATACAGCTCCACCCCCACGTTTCCTATATGTAGAATAGTAGATCTAAAATTTAAATAACTTTATGCTCGTGAACCGAACATATTCCCAAGTATTTCCAACAACCCATTTGGAAATAAGCACACTTTAACTCTCGTACAAACTGCACACTGACTCACCCACTCCCAATTTCTTGCTGTGAGCGCATTTAATATGAGTACAATCCCGTGCTGCAACTGTTTTAAGTTAAAACATTGGTCCAAACGCATGCAACGCATGAAAATTATGCAGAAGCAATTCTACAAGTCACATACATAAACTTGTGCTTAGTTTTCGCGAATCACTCTTCAACCCACTATTTCCTACTAGATACTCTTCAACCCACTTCTCTTAATATTCCCAAACTCGTTTCTTTTTGCAAAAACGTTCTTCAACCTATTTGCTTTTGCAAAACACTTCCTAATCCTTTATAGCAATGCATCTCTCGACCCACTTCTTTCTACAAATTACCCCCCAAATTGCTTTTCAGAGCCACTCTTCGACCTTCTTTTGCGAAACGTTCTACAACTCCATTTCCTTCGCAACGCATCCCCAAACTCCCCTTCTATGGCGAGACACTCATTATTGTATTCATAAAACACCTTTTCCCGCCCAATCTCTCCTAAAAAATCTGTTTATTCACTAACTCTGACACCCCAAACTAGACTCGTCCGTTCTTCAAAAATAAAAGAACTCCTTTATTACTTTTTATTATGGTGGATCGATTATACACAACAAAGTGAAAAACCGAGACTATAATACAATTTGACCATATATGAAGATCAAAAAATGTACAGAACTCTACAAAACGAAAGAGAAGAGATGAACGAAACCAGTAATTCTGAGCATTATATTGTGAGTGTATGAAAACTGATCTCAAGTGATTGGAAACGGGAAAAACAGCCAACAGATACATGTACACATGCATATCCATATTATGAATTATAAAAACAACGACTTTGAAGAAACGACAATTACCTAGAGAAGGCCACAGTAGAACTCACTCTAACAATTGGTAGAGCAATAACACCGCTAATTAAACTGTGTGACAGTTTCTTGGAAAGCAAAATCGATAGTAAAGTCTTAGCTTATATAACAGCTTGTAAAACAGAAGGATGATATACAGCAGCAACATTTACAATAAGACGCAAATCAGAATAATCACAACCAATAACACTCACAACACGTTCTGCTGTAACTGTACCTGCTGTGGCTTTTGTTTCTTTTTTGTTTTCAGATAACCCCCCCAACATTTCCACCAATGAGAGAGATCGGGTTAGAATATCACTTAAACAGCCTTCAATAAATGATAAAAGGAATGTAGGTGCTGCACCAAGTCGATACAAATCACCGAACTGTTCGAGCATTGTCACAACTGCATCACATGGTGCGGTCATTTCACTTTCATCAATAGTTGTATCATCCCCAGAAATCATCTGAATATAGTTTCATACATTAATAATAAAGTGACTTTCAAAATCTCACTCTGAAATGGTAGTCTCAAATTCATTAATGAAACCTTTTTTATATAATTTCCATCATATAATGTTCTGTTTTCACCTACACAATCTGAAAATTTTGAAACTCAAACAAACAATTTTTGACTGCTAAATCAAATTTCTAGAGCAAAGACTGGTGCAATGAAACCTTGACGGTATAATTTGTAGCATCAGCGAGTACTACAACAGTTGGGCTGAATGGTGCAGGATCAGATACAGTAGATGAAGTGGATGACTCAGGAGAAGACGATGCATTAAACAATTCCGATTCACCGTTCCTTATATGACACATCATTGAGCAATACGTCTGTAAAATTACTGTGCTTCTGAATGAAAAACTGTTATTCACCATTTCAATCCTTTCCGCCCATGGGTGTAACCGAATAAGTATTTTTCTTACATTAAAAAATTCCAAACCATTCAATTCTTCTTTAAATGTAAAAATTATTTAAATCTTCCGCACTTTGCAAGTACAGTGTGATGATTAACAGTAGCAATTATATGTAGAGTATAGTATTCCTAAATTTCAAGAAAAGAGTTGAAAATTATACATAGGCAAACCTTTTTCAAATCAATGGTAGCCGAACGTAACCCGCATATAACAAAATGTGAGCAATAAGAATCGCAAGGTCCAGCTAACATGGACCAAGCCAGATTAGTATTCATCGAATCACTAGTGTTCCTTGCTAATGGAAAATACCAATTAGAATGTTTCTCATTGAAACCTGTTTCGAAATGCTCTTGGAAAACACCGTCAGGTTCCTTCCTGTTCCCTAAAAGTAATTTATTATTACTGAACGCTGCCCATTATTTATCATGTTCTTCTCGTACTCATCTATGTCCCAGTTTTTAGATAAAGCAGACATAGAAAACCACTAGTTACATTCGCTGATAATAGCAGTTAAACTATATGGACCAACAAGTTTTAAAATTACTTACCGTCCTTTTTAAGCACATATTTTGTGTAGTTATCATTTTCATGGCAACAGATGGGAGAAAATGATTTCATCTCTGGCTGCGAATCCCACTGATGAGCTACAAAATAAAAGTATCTCAAAAATTTCCAATCATATCATTTGAATATTGGAATTCTAAAAAAATTCACTTCATTCACTTGAAATAGTTTCCTACTAATAAAGCGATGTTGTGGTTCTAAAATAGATGATGTAACAACCTTTGCAACCTAACCTTGAATCACATTCAACAAATTTACTCAATAACATTAAATATCTCTGTAACATAAAATTGAAGAAACACTCGCAAAACAGAAATTACATCAGCTTAATCACAGCTACATTAATTATAACAACACCTTTCTTCTCATCAAGTTGGATAGCTGAGCATCGAACAAAATATGTAAGGATGTAGAGCAAATGTGTGACCAATTTCATATCATTTCCAACTATCACCGTTCGAGCCAAACGTGTTGCACCACCAACACTACCACTTACTTCCATATACTGTGCTAATTGCGCATTGTAAGGATACCGTAAGCAATCTGAACTTCCAGTCTAAAAGTACACACTTCTTAATAGCATTTGATAAGAAATATGGACAGAAATCGAATGATGCCGACAAAGTCACATGAATAACCTCTGAATTCTCCTTCAAAAGTGGGATTTATCACGAAACATGTCAAATTCTTACCGTTCCCATCAACAATGATCGATGAAGATCTTCACAATGTTCAGGTGGTGCGACGCTCGCAACCCATGCAAGATGGTTCATTAAAACACATGACAATAAAGTTGATACAAAGCTGAAATACTTCAAACCTTAGCAATAAACCAATGAGTAAAAAAAGTTCAGTAAAAACTACATTTCCAAACTGGTAAAAACTCACTATCGAGTAGATTTCAAGTCATATTCATAAATTAATGCAGCTAAATTGGTACAAAAGTTATAGGCTGTTGAAGTGTATTTTCTCTCATCCATCAAACTTAGCCAAACAGGAGAACGAAATCGATACGAGTTATAAAGCAAACATATATTATGTGCAAGTTCCAACCAAGCCTGCAAACAATTACAATTTGCCTCCAGAACTGACCAAGATGTAACAATGGTCAAACACTTTAGTACTTTTATTCAACACCATTGCTTATAGCAGTAACATTTCAAAAGGGAAAATTATTAGAAGATACACGTCTAAGAATCCTCAGAATAGACCTGGAATAAAAAATGCAAGAAACGGGTTCGTGAGAGCGTCCCTTTCAAAATTTGAGCTTCTAGTTTGACGATTTCAATTTCAATCAAAGGAATATGACAAAACAAAAACTGCTTTTCTTCTTCCCTAAAACAAAACATTAACACAACCAACATATTATCTATTAAAAATAGCCAGCTTAACTAAAGCAAATGAATAACCGAAAAAATCTTAAAATAAAAAAAAACAATTAACTTTGGACATATCCAACAGCAACGCTGCTTTTTCTACAAACGCTTAAACTGAATAGTAATATATTAGTATGAGGATATACTTTTCATATGAGAATAAAAATAAAATTAATCATCACTCCTAGTTTGCAGACAACGAAGAAAGCACGCTTATACTGAAATAAACGAACAAAAATTTTAATCCATAAATGATAAGTAATGACTGAACAGAAATATAATATACTGGACTCATTTTAATGTAAAATTATAGTAAGACAGACACGGGAGAAAGTGTTATATATGTGTAAAGTCATATATTTCTTCTCAATATTAGATTACACCTCGATGCTAAAGTATGCTTTTATTTCCTTTTTTTTAATCAATAATAAAAATCCTTCAGTAATACAACGAATGTTAAATTAAGAAGTTACCGAAACAGTATTCCTATTGCAATTTGTTTCGATTCTTCATCTGCTGTTGAACTACAACTGCTCAAACGACTTCGACTATTCCAGCGACCAGAGTTATCTGGAATACAACACAGCAAATGTAAATTGCACATCCGGACGACTTTGCAGACACACGAAAAGAATGTACCAAAACGCTTTGAAACAAATTTAGCAAGTTTTTTTAGTGGAATTTTAATTCACTTACAAAGAAAATCGTTGTAAAAAAATAATAAATTTCCAACTTATTTCTAAAATAATGTCCCCTTCTCGTATAACTAAACTCTCCCTGAAAATCATAAATCTACATCGTTGTTATTACGAGTATCTATAAAATGGCTTACACCACATTACTAGAAAAAATATTAATAACTTCTGCTATTTTTCAAAAATTTATTTGCTGTATCTATGTTGTTAGCACAAGCAAAAATATTCTCCCTACATGACTTGTGATAACTGTTTTATTTTGGCTCAAGAAAGGCGATTGGAATCAGATTGCAAAATGAAAAGGTTTAGTTCATTATTAATGAAAATTGAAAAAAGGTGATACGAATATAAAAGAATGCATTTATACTACCCCCTTCAATGCGTTTACATAATAAATCTAAGAACATATCCAAAAAAGAACATACAGAACAAAACGTCCAAAACAATTATTCCGTTACGTTAACTGAAAGAAAGAAAGAAATCTTTTTAATACTTCTTCACATTCTCAAAGAATTATGCTTCAAAAATTCATGGTGCTTAAAAGTTAACAAATATTCAATACATTATTTAAAAGTAATTGAAAAACAATTACTAGTACAGATTAGTAACAATCCAGCAAATTTGAAAACTTCAAAAAGTGGTACGTTCCTTAGCAAGACTTATGCTTTAACAAAAAATTTAACCTAAAGCATTATATCGGAACCTTTAAAGTTAAAAGATGATTTATCCCTATTATTGCACAGTATGAGAAAATGTCAACAGATTTCGTTAATCATTTTGGTAATAGAAAAGTTAAGATATTAATCACACATCATTCTTTTTTCATTTTTGGTGACTGTAAATTATGCACTGCTTCAACTTGAGTCTATTTTTCTGTAGATTAAATTAGAACTAAAATAACACTTTTCAATTACTGCTGACTAATAAATTGTTTCATATTTTTATAATTATGAGGATGCTCACTTTCGTCACATAAATTGCTTCGCTGTGCAAGCTGCATTCGGCGATGCCGAGAGAGGCGATTAGGTGAAAATGCTCTGTATGCATCTATATATCCTTCTTCACTGTCTAATTGCAAAGACGTATTTCGTACTCGCGTAAATCCTGCAATTAATGACAATGTCTTCGAGATAGTTTTTCATTACATCTTTGCTTGATAATAAATAATATATCAACTTCCATCTAACAGAGGCATGCTTTAATCAGTACCTTAACATGCGAATGTTTTTTGTAAATAAATTTCAATTCGAACTATGCTCTCTGAAGATAACAATTGATTTTACGTAAGCTTAATTAAAAGTAGGTCCACGTGTGGTTATTCCTACCCATAACCTTTCACGTATGTAAAGTATTGAAAGGAAAAATTGATGGGGCAAAGTGAAGCAAATGTTGAAATGAGGACCCAATGACTATCAACTTCACTACTGTTGCAACTGCATAATTTATTTCATTAATCTTTAAAACGAATTCTCAACTATACCTTCCGGAGGATCAGCTGATTGCGAACAGTAGTGCACCCGTTCTCGCACGCCATCGTCCGAACGAACTGTTGAGTACGGGCTTTCTGAATCAGCGCTACTTAAACTACCAACAGGTACTGTCTTACTGTCACTAAAAAAGTCATCTATGTCATAACATACTAGAATGAAAAATGAAACATCTTCCATGGAAGATCTATATATAACTTAGTCCGTCCTTCATTTTGATAATTTCAGTGATGCAATAAGAAAAATCGATAAAAGAGTAGAAAAATAACTAAAAAAGAATCACAGTGATGGACAATACCTATTTGAAGACTTTCCCATTTTCGGAATTGAGACAACGCGGCTTACCATAATTTGCTTACTTCCACTGCAGAAATATAGGGATTTATAAAAGCTTAATTTGTTTCATATAGTAAGTTGCGAGAGGTAAGAACTTGCTCCCATATTGTTGTGTATATCTACTCACACTTCCACATTCACAGAACTTCCTATGATTAATAGTTACCTACATCGAACTGATCCATGATTTTTTTCCAAATTTGTAATGATTAGTATAATGTTTTTTAATAGAAATAATTGATCGCAATTTGAAAATTAATAACCAGCACCAATAAGCATTTTTTGATCAATACCTTAGAGAGTGTATTTTGAAGGATTCACTCTTAGCCATTGACAATGAACCAAATATCATCTGTCCGATGGAGGAAACATCGGAGCGATGTCTAAGAAACTGAAAACCATTTTCGCTGATGATATAATGCCATGAAGAAACTGCACCAAAATGTATCACTTACTGTACAAAACTAACATATTTTCAACTTTTTGTAACGGCAAGAATAATTGCACTAACTAAAAATAAGAAGTTAATATTCGGGCTACGATCTTGAAATGAAGTCGGTAAATTACCCGAAACCGCCCACAATTTGAGATGGGTCCTCTTGCTGAAATGTCCGACGAATTCACAGGTAGAACAGTTTCACTATCAAACAACAATCTTCGTTCACATTCGGCCAAAACAACCAACCGAAGTGATTCTTTACCAAGTTTCTTATCGTGACAGACACTGCAGTACTTACCATTTTAATCAAATCTACTTTACTGATTAAAAACTGACAAAATATAACTTACACTTGATAAAAAACAAAGGAATCTGCTAAATTACAATGAAATAAAAAATAGAGAAGTAGCTCCACACACAAAGCCTAAAACTACTACATAGTTACTCCTCATAATTTAGTCAGTCATCTCAAGGAGAATACGACAAAGTATCAGAAAATCCTGGAAAATTTTCAACCCATTCCCCTAAATTTTTTAATGTTTTTCAACTGCTATCTGCGCAGTACACATCATATATGGATCTAAAACTCAGCTTATCTAAAATAAGATCAAAAAAACAAACAATGATCATGATTCCAATTTTGCATAATTTCAAGATCACAGAGAAAAAAAGTATAAGAAACCAAACATGAATTGAGTATTTCTTCTACTGTTTCTATATTTTAAATGAAAACTTCAACAAAAAAAACCGAGTTATAATACCAACCAAAACTGATCGATCACTTCCTCTACTTTTCTGTCTTCATTTGCTTCCCTCAGCACAACACAGTCATTATTTATTGTGGGTTCAAGCACCTGCTTTTTAGGCCTTTTTGGAATTAAATTCTTCAACATGATTAGCACTTTAATCTCATATTTAAACCATCATTTACAAAGAGTTCATCATTAAGCAATACATGCCACCTTCTTTACATTCTGAAAACAAACTTTCATTTTATGCTGACTATAAGATCAAATATTCGCATATACTCGAGGAACAATACTTATATCAAAGAAGTATTTATATTCCATTTTTGAACTTGTTGAATATAAGTAAAGCACCCTAGCTAAAATTAAAAAAAGCAGCAACAATAACATAGAATTTGCTAATTCTATGATAATGTCTTCAAAATATAGCATTCCCGATATCTGTAGAGATATTTAAATAATGTGAGTATTCTCTGAATGTTGTTCAGCAATTTTGCTTGTCTAAGATCAAACTATTAAACAAAAAGCGGAAATTAGATGAGAAGAGATGCTTGCAGACAATAGATGAACAGGTAAATAATGAAGCGGGGAATGCAAAATCGTAATAAGTGAAGTGGAGTAACACAAACAAGAAAACAAATTGAATCTCATGATATCAGTAAGTGTCTTGCAAGCAAATTTTTATTAGTATGCTTAGTATAATTACTATTTTACTTTGTTCGATTACTAAGAGCAGAGTTAATCTTATACTTGTCCAACATTTTAAACAGAAAGAGAGGAATGATGGAGTCACTTCCATAAGTAAAATTTTGGGAGCACGTTTTTACCTCTCGCAACTTACTATATGAAACAAAAGTAATGACTATGAAAAAAAATTAGTATGACTACAAAACTAGTAATGTGTAATACATAATTTTTATGAATTTTCATTTGCACTATTACACTACATCGAGACATAAAATGCGTAAAATGCTTGTAATAAGGCAATGAAAATAAAATTCTAACAAACATCAAATAAGGTTCTTCGAAAGAAACTGTTCATTTTCTAAACAAAATATATTTAATTCGTAAATAGGAATGAACTTGGAGATGAAAATCAAATTCTGAAGAATCGGATTCTATACGGCTCTCCATGCTGCTATATTGAAAAATGAAAGATGGACAATAAAGTAAACCAAAAAATCAAAATTAATAGTACAAAAGAATTGATGACAATTTTATGAGCCAACACAATTTATTATTTTTTAGTTTAACATTAGTTTACTGCACACAATAATCCTGCCACTGTAACGCTGAACGCGAGGGAAAACAATAGAAAAATGAAAATAGTGCTTGAAAGAATAATGGTAATAATAATAATGATGACGGAAATTCTAACAGGGATTAGAAATTTTATCATCATTTTTATTACCATTATTCTCAAAAACATTACAGCCTTTCATCATTAATTACGTTAAATACAAAAATATGAATAGAATGAAAACATGACGGTGGAGGAAGTTGGATAATAAGAGAGCATCACTGTTAACATCTAATTAACCGTCCTACAAATAACAAACCAATAAAGACGAATAGGTTAATCAATTCCAGGATACTGGTGGTAAGACGGTGATAAAGGAGAACCAGGAATAAAGCTTGAAATCAAATGCGATCTTTCCACCAAGAACTTGTCACCATCAACACTATTAGTCCAGCAAGAAAAATAACAATGAACATGACGTCACTCTTGCATGGAAGATGATTCGTTTCATTTTTTCAATAGTAATAACAGAATGCATTTTAAGTAGTAACAGATTTTGTTCTCTCAGAACTCAAGGGACTTCTGAATTCGAAGACTGAAAGCAATGTGAAAAACGACTATGAGATGATTAAAGAATTAGCACTAGTGAACGCTTTTTCCAATAAGCAAACTTGTTTCTTGCTTCTCTTTATATTCTCACTAGGATTTTTCAATTTGTCTTTCAAACAATGAATACCAAATTGGCGATACTGTAAAAGTGGAAGAAAATGTTACATGGCAATGTGATATTAGATAACTGGAGAGTATAACTGTTTTATTACGTAATAATGGAAATATGTAGGTTTGAAGTGAGATGCAGACTGATTACGTTAAATATCCTCATGAAAACAGCGGTAAAAAGTGAGAATTCATAAGAAGAAACGTAAATGAAAAGACTTATAGCTATTATCGTAACTGTATAATACCAAGTGTGGGAAAATGAAAACAAATAGATCAGCAACAGATTGATGCATGTAAACAAACCAGAAAATTACGATTAATAGCAATAAATAAGTCGTTCAAAATGTTAAACTTCTACTTTTCACAAAGACAAGCTTTACTAGAATGTACGGTGATCACCAACAGTTACAGTACCCAGGATCACTTGTAAAAAGGTACAGGTAAGAAAACATGATTTCATTGGACGGTGAATAAGAAATTAATGCTTTGAAACTGTTCCTTAACAAAAGCAATCATGAGTTCATGGCTGGTACCCTTTATTGCAACTTCTTCGTGCTTCTACAGAGATAAATCTTCTAGTAAATTAGTGTGGAATGCTTCCGTTACATCAACTTTAGCAAAACCGTATTCACTATATATGCTTTTGCATGTCACATGCGATTAAAAAATAATGAAGCACTTCTGGAACTTATATTATATCAAAGAAATCAGAGCAGTGATTACCAGAAGGCGATCCATTCATTTCACTACTACAGTGCAAATAAATTAGTAGAGTTTATTTAAACTTTATTCTTGCCTCAATATTCCAAAATTAGGCATGTATGAAATGAGCAATATAAGAATAAATTGTAATTGCTTGTGGAATGATGAATGAAAATAGGTGATAAAAATTTTGTGAAACAGAAATATGTGGATTTTGTAAGTAATTTAGGTAACTTATTGTCATTAACTTACTTCTTCATGATTAAACATTCAATAAGTTATGACGGCATAAATTGTAAATCACGCGGATTTTCCAAAGAATGCAACGGACGGTAAATTTATATATATATA